TTTCTTCAAGTCTTTATTAGTATATTATATATAAAAATTAAAGCTTATCTATCTTTCAGGAGTCACAACTTAATTATACCTTTTCAAATGACCTTAATGACTGTTTGTCACACAGGCATGTGTGTATGACATTAGTGTTAATAAGAGCCTAGGATTATTGCAAGTTTTTACATAAATACTTGACTGATGGAATGTAAAACATATGGCAACGGAAATCCTAGATTCTATAATAAGTATAGCGTTCATAGTTAGCCGTTTGTTTGTGTTTTATTGCATAATTGAAACCAATGATGTTTAAATATTGCTTGAAGAGTGCAAGTAAAAGAGATAAGCGAAATACGGTAGCTCAATTCGTAAAAGGAACGCCGTGAATACGAGTTTACCTGTTGTCAAATTTGTTCGATGAGAATAAAAATCGATCTTTTTTCAATTCAAAAACAATTCTATACAAAAAAGCGATAATTTTGTAGTAGTAAAAACAAACACGTACATTCCAATACTACTTGTATAGATCTGTAAGTGTATTCACGTTCCCTAATGTATTGGTTGTAAGTGGACAAGATAACAGGGCATAGAAATAATTTCCAAGCTTTTAAACGCTGACGAGCTTAATGCTTTGAAAGTTATCAACAGCTTGACATTGCTGTTAACAATATCTGAAATAGTCTGTTTTAGCTACAAGAATTATTTAAGAAGAAGAACACATATATATTTAACTATTCCTATATCCTTCTACTCTATTCTAACATTATTTATCAAAATTACTATAATTATATTGCCTATGGGCAATAATAAACTAATAAAAATACTGTCTAAAGTTTACGCGAGTAGTACACATTTAAATAAAACACTTTAACGGTTAATAAAATAATAATAAGTTTAACTAATATATCGCGTTTTAAACCGTTAAAGTGTTTTATTTAAATAAATAAACTAATAAAGTAATAGTAATAATTCGCAAGCAGTTAATATACCCATTAACTAATATGCTAATGGATATATTAACTGCTTCAAGTTCTAGATTAGAATCTCGGTTTGGACAAATGGTTACTTCAATATTTAAAGCATAACAGTACAAATAAAAGAATGATTAAAGTACATTTATTATTATTATTTACTAACAGACTAGCCATGAAACGTTGTCTGTAGTTTAGTTGAATGATACACATATAATAAAACTCATTTGACGTTATAACGATATATATTACGAAAATTATTTTTAATGTTTAACCCCACGGGTTGATACCTATTATAATTGCTAATTTGGTAATTTATTGTATGCAGCAGCAATATTGAAATACATAAAACATAACTCCTTGATGAAATATACCTGGTTGGTCAAGCCACAAGCATTTTGAATAAAACAATAAAGTTCTGCCTCTCGAGGAATTTGAAATGGCGCGTTAGAAAAGACATAGGACCTTGATTTAATTGTTTACTGCATTAGCGAATGAGAGAACCAGTTTCATTATTATGTGTTTATTTAAGGAATCTATAGAGTTGCGAAACGAATGAATCAATTTTAATTCCATTCAAGCCATAGATTATAATTTTTATTAGGAGTATAATAGCAGTGTATAGTCTATACATACGGGAAACAGAATTTTAAATTCATCAGTTAACTAAAGTGAGGTGAATGTGAGGCAAGTTAATTCTTCACACCAATCAGTGAATCAGCTAAGGGTCTGCGTAGGTGATAAGTTGTACGTGGTACCTTATGGTAAATCATAAGTTGCTTGGCATAAACATCAATGATGTAATCCTTTACTTTGAAGTTTAATATTTATAAATACATTTATTTTAATACAAAGACTAAAAACGAATACCATTATCATCTCTTTTATTTTATTCATTCATATTTATCACTTTTATTATAAATGCCAAACTTTTTAATCAATATTTGAATATCCTAAGCCAAAATAGGTGGACATAATATAGGTCCCATCCCATGCCCTCCTCTATCATTAAAAACAAATATGAATGTCAAAGGCTGTATGATATTGTTATCGGAAAAAATATAATGTCAATATGGGCTCATACGAAAATTATAAGTTTTTTCTTGTGTAACTTTTCTCCGATGGTTACGAAACAGAACGTCTCATTCTCATCACAGGTGGCGTTATTTATCTCGAAGAACTAAAGTACAATGATGATTATATCAATTTTCTAAACAAAACGCACAATTGAGAAGGGTGAACAAACACACTTTTAGCCAATATAAACATGCATTAAGCTTTATCCCATTGGAGCAAACCGCCTAAAATTAATGTTAAAAGCATTCATTAAATTCAAACACTTCGTTAAAATTAAAATAGCAATTAGTTTTTCGTATATTTTTTGTTCACGTATACACCATTTTGCGTTTTAACACCGCTTACAAGATCGTTTACAACCTGTTTACAAAATGGGTTCGACTTTTTTTGATGTAAAGGGCCTTATCTGCTCTTTAGTGGTCTCTAACAACAAAGTTCCGTCGAATGAGCGATCGTGCGTTTTTTATTCGTCGTATCGTGGTATCCCGCTTCTTAATGGGCCATGTTAAATATCAATAATTACCATATTATATTCAGGGACGCAGACCTCTGTGGACCTCTCAAAATGGCCGCCATTAATTATTGTTTTTAAGCGCTGCTCAAATCTCAAAGGCTACATTAAAAGTTGTTTTAACAGACCCGCGCGATAAAACACGAAACGTTTACAAAACAAATATGTTAAATAACTACAGGTATAAGTAGCACGCGGTGCAAATTGATATTCTACCTTTCCGTGGAATAACTTAGTTGTATTCACGTAATTTTATAAATAAACGCAGCATTTAAAATTCGTGACGAGATGTACATAAGCAACAAATGCAATTTCGAGTATATGAATAAATTGGCTTTATGTATAAGAACTCAATTATTTTATCGTATAATAGGCATGTATAATAAGTGGTTTTTTTTAATCACTAAACATTCACAAAGACATGACACAAACGTTGAAACCTATATTTGCCCTCGAGAGCCGTGCGCTCTTGTGTTCGCCGGTTCGATTCACAGTCCCTATCTTTATTTTACATTACACACAAATTGAAACGTTTACGGATTGTACATGTTTTAACAAAATCTAAAAAATATCACAAAATGGAATAAAACAACATAAAATGTATACAATCAATTAATAAAAACTTATCGTTATTAGTACGCTACCCTTCGTGTGAGAGTCGAGTCATACCGAGGATTGAACACTAGATATATTGTCATTGCTCTTAAATCAAATGTTATAATATTATTTTTTGACAGAGAAGGACAGCCTAGCATGCGGTTCGTTCACTTAATGGTGAATTACACCAGCTATATAACATCTCAACAACATGTGCATTCTCTATTTTGGCTTTGGATATTCGGAAATTCGCAGACTGAAGCCGAAATGCGATTAAACTCCATGGCTTTTTTTATCTGTGGACGGCGATATTACTACCACCCAACCATTTCAGATGTCTAGACGGAAAATGTTGGCCCCGGTGAGGATCGAAGCCATGACCTGCCGATTATTAACCTTACATTGCTACTATTACACCAACGAGGCCTTTATAACGAATTAGGTGTGATTTCGAAATTACATGGCGTATTCTAATTACCAAATCGAAGTGTTATAAATAATTAACTTCAACATTAGACAGGTACGGGCCCAACGTCATTGTGTATAGGTCTCCTTTAGTCGGATTTGCCCTCTACCTCTGACCTCCATTGTTTCTTTATATTTACATGCGTCAACGTTCTTTCGAACCGCATTTGGCGCATTGGGAAACATTTAAAGTAAAATGGTTCATTATTGTATTTCCACTAGCTGTGTCCGCGACATCGTCTGCTCGGCATACTTATTTTGTGCATCATGGTATTTTTTTTGTAAACAACTGTTTGGACATTTTTAGATCACTTAACCTTGAAAGAGAAATCATTATTTCATACATATTTTTCGGGTTCTTGAACCGTTGCCTCTCCCAACGGATGCCCTAAAAATAAATAATTTTTCCCGATTTTTCACATTTCCCTCTATTTCTCTCCAATTGATCGCACCGTGATATATTGGTCTATGCAACACAATATTAATTTTCATAAGCGATCACGTAACCGTAGTTAAGGAAACAAACAAACTTTTCAGATTTATAATATGTATAAGTTTAGATTATGTTTGAAATGGGCTGTCGGGTCATTTTGATCAAAAGCATCAAAATAAATAAAAAATTTTTCTTCTTTCGGTCTAGACTTGATATTATTAAAAAATATTTTATAAATGCTTTCTAGGGTTAAAAGTTGTCAAAAAGCTGTCTATCCTTAGTATTGACGATTTGAATATTTGTTCGTGTGTTATCAGTATATTGTAAAACTATTTAAATTAAGAATAGCGTGACGTAAAATATGCAGGTGACCCTACTAATGTATACAATGCATTCTAATTTCAGTCGTCAAAGCAATGGCCGTTGTTTCAAATGTGGCTTCAAGTGTTGTAACTTATTCTATAGATTCTATAGATGAAGGGTTTTAAAAACCAGTGCAGTACTGCGGCGTTTTAATTTGGAGACGGAGTTGAATACATAAGATTAATTAAAAAACATTATATTTTGTATCTTTATAGAACCTACACTTTTTGATAATTTTCTTAAATACACAGACAAACTAATTTTATTATAATATGGATTAAATGTCAACCTTTGATTTAAAGAATTTCGCCTAGCGACACGCAACTTCATTAAATATGTATAAATACAAAGAAATCATCGCATTTAAATTCTATGCCGTAGCATATTTGCTACCAATTTTTGCGTACACGACGACTTAGAATTATATTGACTTTAGATGTTTGTTTTATGGAATATGACGTGATTCGCATGATTAATAAATAACGATTGAAATTTAAATTGTTTACTGGTGAAAAAAGCATACAGTAGTTAAAATAAATACTACTTTAATAAAACATACAAACACGGTAAATATCAATATAAGAAATAATGTATCTTTTTATATAAAACCTAAATCTACAGAAACTCGCAGTGCATTAATTAATTTTAATTTTTGTTTCTCGGTTTTGAACGGCGTCAAAATCCATATATCCTCCAAAGGTATAATATCTTTGTCACTAAACTTAGTTTCGAACGACTGCATCACATCACATTTTTCACTGACTATTAACGGTAAGGATGTCAATGCCGATAGGAAGCCAAACTTTCCATATTTCTTTAATTCAGCATCTAAAGTGTGCCTAGGAAACACTTTTTGTGCATCAATATTCATATCGTCCATAAAATGCCGGAAATACGAGTAGTAAACATCCAGTGATTTAGTAAAATCTTCTTTATGAGGGGAATCACAACAGCCCATTAGAAAGAAAGTTAAATCGGTAGCCGGTGATGCGAATCTGAAGAGCTGAAAGTCGATGCCAACGACACCTTGGCTGGAGCCCAGAAAGTTAGCATACCAGCAGTCACCGTGGTTAAACACAGTGTGATCACCCCATGTATTCGAAATCTCCATTTGCTGTTTAAAGGTATCACTGTTGATGAGATTCATAAACTTTTCGTAATAGACTTTATCAATTTTGTCTTCATATTCGCACACCACTTCTTTATCAACTTCCACGGCTTTTCGGAGCCACTTGCAATACCAAGCTCTCCTTCTCTCGTTAAAGTAACATTCGGGAAATTCATTTGCTAGTTTGAAAAATAGTTCTGGATTCTTCAAGCGCATTGCCATAGATACAGCATGGAGAAGAGCTATAACTTTTAGTATCCCTTCTCTTTCCGTATCTGACGGTGAATGAGATATAGGACAATATCCATTCTCTGATAGATCTTCGAGAATTAGGTAGTCGGCTTGACCATCGCAATGGTAATGATAACAAAATGGGATATACTTTTGTAGGCTCTCCTTCGCGTTCAAGGATCTTTGGAATTCGGTGAATAGAGGCAGTATCTTTGAGAAGAACATGACCTCTCTATGGAAAAACATAGTGCAGTTAAGAGTTCTTCGGAGCAGCAGATCGTTTACCAGTCCCTTTGCTACATAACTGGTGCTGTACTTCTCGCCGGTGACGCAGATACGATAGACGGCGCTGAGTAGACCCTCGCCAGCGGGTCCAACTCTGGAAACTTGGCTTTTAACAACATGGTCTTGGCTATTCGTCTTCAATTTAAAGATCTTATCTAACACCTCGTTTGTTAGTAGTTCCGAGACGTTGCTTAGTTCCAAGTAACCCATCTTGTTGCAACTAATTAAGTCATAAGCGCTTTTCCTATATTTATGTATTTCCCTTCCATTCATGTGTCATGATAAACGAATTATCTTGACGGATATTATCTTATGCAAATATAACATCTGTGTTCTATTTGATATTGATAATTTTCTCAATTTAATTTAATGTTATTTATATTTCAATGGATGTACTATGTATATAATTATGAATGAGAATATGTTTGTTTATCCTACTAGGATCCAATAGCTTTTTAAAGACATAAGTTGATTGCGAGGTTCGGTATAAATATTGAAAGAAAGAATGTTTATATTTTACATAAAAAAAGTGTTGACATTCGTTGTCGTTGATGCACTGCCTAGAGGCATAAGCAAGACGGGCATAGGTCGATTTTTCTGTGAAACATAATCAATACTTTCGGTCGAACAGGGCACAAAATCAAATCGACTTAGACAGGCCTAATTTTCCACGAGGAAACGGAATGTAATTTTTTCATATAGATACATGTTTTTTAATTTTTTGTGGCTTGTATGTCTATTATTAAAAATACCAAGCAAGCCGTGAGGTTAGTTTAGTAATAATTATAGCATAAGATACCAAAGGTCATTCTAAAAATACCAAAGTGAAAATTGTTTTGTGCTCCTAAAGCTAAAAAAGCTTCTATCAACATAAATTATAAAGTAATACCTGCATCGAAAAAGTAAGTATTTACATTTATTAAGCAATCATCTTATGTGACTCTGTTATCGTGCACACTAGTTGGTTAGCTGTGGGCAAATAAAATGTCTTAATGCCAGACTGTTTGCCATAGATAAAGTTATATTTACAGAAAAGGTACATATTAACAAATAATAATCCTACGAATACAAGTTTTTACGTGCATTGCATCACATGAATTTTGAAGAACGTATATTTTTAGACGATATTAGTTAACATTATGCGCCTTAAATTAAATATTTTTAACGGTTTACTACAGAAAATATTTAATTTTTTAACGCATTTCAGTCAAATACAATAGGTATACCACCTTATTGCAACGTATAAAATATATAATTTACTATTACGATTAGTCACACGCAAATAAAATATTCTTTTTTATATAATTATTATTTACGTATCTGAATATCAAACATAACCAAGATATTATCATTTATTTAATAAAAATGCATATTTCTAAGTACAACCACTACGGTTGTCAGTGGAAAGTTTATTAGGACGATCCTTGACGCGGTGAATTTAAAAATGTCTCTGTTTTAATGTTAAATGGCGCCAAGTCTCGTTTATGCTTTCCGCGAAAAACGTGAGGTTTCATAATTAGCGTGTATAAACAAAGCCTTTAAACGACCATGGGTATGTAGTGGCATTTCCATATACAAAACATAGTTTAAATTACTAAGCAAGAAGATGAATATGTTTTTTGTTACAGAAAAGATGGTGCTCAAGTACAGATTAAAAAAAAACAAGTTTAATGCGCACAACATTTAAGTTTTATTATCTAGAGTATTAACAAAGTATATTTAGATGTATAATCACTAATAACTTTTTAATAAAAACTAGTCAGTATTTTTTTTCTAATCCTAAAGGATTATATAATAAAGAATCTCTTAGAAGAGATATATTAAGATTCCGCATAAATATTTAAAATGAAAGCGGCTAAGCTATTTTAAGCTCACAGTTCGTGTATTCGACGCGATAACCTAGCAGGAGAACCTTCATCGTATGTTATGTTATATCTTGACAGAGCTTTTAGATCTAAAAGCCTCCGCACGAATGTCTACATTTATACAAACTTTATAAAGTCATTAGGACTCTTTTAGATACATTTTTATTAAAGAGGTTAGTGGGACGAATTTTGGTTAATTTTCTATTGGGCTGGGCACAAAAACTACTTAGTCGATCCGATTTTGGGGGCCCGTATCTTTGATATATACGGACATATATCATAGATATAGAACTATTACCAAATTCTCCTTCTAATCATACAAATACACTTTAGTTTTTAATCATAGGGATACTGAAAATTGTGCATTTAATTTCCAGGTCACTAAATAGTGTACCACTTAATTAGTCGACATTAACCTTTACACAACATCGACAAGATATAAAACACACGGATTACCGTTGAAAGAGTAACAATATAAAAGGTAGAACAAAATGGCAGGCTTTACCTGCGCGCCACTCTACCTTCAATTTTTTTCGTAGCTTGGCGTCCAAGAGATAAAAGCCCGTTGTAGACACGAGGAAGACAAAAGCGGGCTGAGTTGTAGTTTATTTTTGATTTTAATCGTCCATTTTAGTCGTCGAGTGGTGTAGGGAATGCAGGTTTTGTTTAGAAAGATTTATGGTAGTGCTTATTATTTTCGCTCGTCGATATTTTCGTCTCCACGTTTGACGAATATTGCTGGCAAAGGTTGCCTGATTATGCTGACTTAATGGATGAAGTCAACTACCAAGACAGCGGTTTACAAAGGCCGATTATTTTTCACCAAAAACTCACCATCTCGCTCATATAAGGCTCGCTCCCACAATGTGAATCGCGCTTAGATTTCGTTCGGAATCTTCGCTCGCAAAAAATATCTTTTGTTGCGACCGTGTGAATACAAGCCAGCCCTTTGTATGGCGACTATGTCAAAAGTGCATCTGTTGAGATCATTTTAATTACATGAATAAACCCTCATCTGTGACTTGCGATCGTCTTACACGAAGCGTGGAGATTATTGAAAGGTTTTAATATTAAAAACGAGCGGTCAAATCGAGCGAGCCTGGTTATATGTAGAACAGTATTATTATGGGTAATATAAAGCACTTTCTATTCATCGGGTTGGCCCTGCGTCGCTTCAGGGTTTAAGCTAAAAGCGATCATTCCAAGAATATTTGGCATTAGCATGTGAATTGCTTGTCAAGAGCACATGCAACTGGATGCATATCTTGAGGCAGTGTTCTCTGCGTTATTGTAGTCTTTGTTCAGAGAGATGCAAGGATAACACTTATGCATTTAAAAAGTTATCTACGTTTACCCTTTACGTTATAAATTTGCTTCTAATTACAAACTTATCAAAAATCTCCAATAATAAATAACTTGTATTTAACAAGTTATTTATTATGCTCAGAGATGTAGTTTGCTTTTCTAAGTATATCTCGGGGGATAGTATCTCTGTGCTGGTCTTGATTTCGAGTGATTTATTCTCAAGACTAATACTAATCTACTTTATAAGTATATTTCAAATATTATTTTATTTAAGTTAGTAGTTAGAATGATTATTATTTCTTTATTAACAAAACGCGTGAGTAAAATAATCGTTCATCACATAACACAGGGCAGACACGTGTATATTTACTGGTCGATGTCATTTATAGGCAAGTAATCGTTCACACTTATTCTACTCGTACACTACTCACGTATTCTACTCAACCAAATTTGTTTATTTTCTAAATTCAAACCCAGAAAGCGCACAACGCAATGATGGGTATCGCGTTTGAAAAATGATAATAACAAAATATTAATTAAACCTCTTAAATGGAAACCACAAACAAAACATTGCTTTTATTAAAGGTGAAACGATACAAAGCAGGTACCTGTTATGATCGATTCAACTCGATAAACACTCGTACCTAACTTATTTATATTATTACGACGAACGGTTGGGGGTAGCAGATGCCGACATATTATTTGATATCTTGACATAAGGTTTTTTAAAACGAAAAATCATCTAACACCATAACAAATTTCGATCTTATGAGTTATACGCATAAGTTATTAATTATATTAGTTTAACGATAACGTTGTGCATCAAAAAGATAAACCGCATCGTCTACCCGGTCACAGTGGGGTACATTTTTGGGTTCAGGAATTCGCTTGTGGAAACCATTAAATTTTTATACGTTATTAACGATTTGACTTTGACTCGTATATACGAAACAGTCTTTGGATGCTTGGGTTAAATTATAAAAATCAATGTACAATATTTAAACAATAATTTTTAGCATATAAGATTACATGTTACCTGTTTTAATTACTACCAAGTATTCTCAAAAGCTACAAATAAATTTTATATTGTCGTTCGTTAGATTAATTATACAACATTATGGATATATAAGAATTCGTAAGACGACATATTTCAAAACCATAAATAATTTTACCTAACATAAATTATTTATTAAACTTTTCGAAAATTATCCACGACATCGTTAAAATTTTGCATTTAACTAAAATACAGACTTTAACTTCTTAAGAGACCAAAGTTTTGGTTTGTCAAATACATTAGGAATGTAATACTAATATTTGTAACACTCGAACATCCAGAGCCAGGTAACTAGGTGCGATAGACCGCAAGCAGTGGCCGGTACCTGCGCCACAATAGACGAAATCAGACCGTCATTGTACTAACACAAAGGGCTCAAGTGGTCTCTTTGTTCAAATGAACGGCGAACGTCTCTAAAACTACAAACTAATACTGTATGTTTCAAGTTTTTTAATAGCATATGCCGTTTGTTTTTCACTGATTATTTTCAACTTGACAGCATGGCTTGAGTAGATTTGGTAATTTTTTAATAAAAGTTCACTGTGATTCTTCTTTAAACGTTAAGATTCTGAACTAATTAAAATTATTTATTAAGCACATTTACAAATGACAGACAGCACTATAAACTCTACATATTTGTGTTTGTCTTGTGTATCACTAAATACAATAATGTACGCAAAATTATTTGTCGGATCTATTTTATTCTTATTTTAATAAGCCAATCGTAATATTATCTACAAACAAAACAATTTGGAAGTAATTTGTATTCGAAGAGTCGACGTTATGAAAAGACGTTTGCATCGCTTTTGAGAAAGAGTTCAACGCGCGTTGCGCTAATGTCAATAGAGACAAAAAAAAATATCTCTATTTAAATTTTCAATTCAACAGAAGCAATATTCAAAATAACTTAATCGATAATACTTATTTATATCGGTAAAATAATAAGACAACGAAATATAGGTCATAAAAAACAAGTTACTTTATCAAAAAAAATTACCTTAAACATAATCGTACTCGACCCCATAAAACATACAAACTAGTTAACCAATGGAAAATGTCCAGCGGATTTTCAAACTCACACGATAACGTAAACAGTTGTATGAGTTTTGCTACCTTCTGTTGCGCCCGCGCACCGTGCGTGGACTTTGGAAACCGGGCGGGTCAGTACACGATGGAAGTTTGCCGCGTTCGGTTGTGTTCTGTGCAATGCGAGTGATGTCGCAGCATGATTGGTGCGCGTACCTTGTTGTGGTGTATATGCCTCGGCGCAATCTTTGGAAGCGTCCGCGCAGCCCGGCCGCATCGCCTCCATCATGTTGTACCTGCGCGACATAAACATTCGGAATTCGTTAAGGGCAAGAGTAAGTGCCGCCCACGCAATTATACCTACTGAATACTAGCTTTCCCATTTAAGTGTTTAAGGCTGTTTTCACACTATGCTACACAATTAATAACATATGGTTCAACAACACAGTGGTTTCAGTGAGTTCGTTATAAAGTTGTCTCAGAATAGCATGGTAGATCACTTAATCTTTAAAATGTAATAAACACAGTTCATAAGGCTCACAAACCGGTATGACTAGTAAAATTATTTGTGGCCGTGCCTATGAACAAAATGGAATTTAGTACTAGTATATACTTTATAACATTACATAAGTACACACAGGTTTATCACCTGTGTGTCTAGTGTATATAGACCATAAAAATATCTCAATAAATCTGGTTGAGTTAAACGATGGAATAAAATAAACAAAGCTTATCTTGGACCAAGCAACATTACCTTATATAGTCTGAGAGGCTGTTGTGGTACTTTGGATCGAGTAGCTAAGGGCGCGTATACACGATTGTTTATTGTTTTATCTAATTTAATATCAACTTAAGGGTTGTTTTCCTAGTGATAAAGCGAAGCAGACAGGCTTAAAGAACTTTATTACCTTTTGCATTAGCAGAACATTGCGACATCTCATTAGTTAAAATAATGTCATTCTTTAGTTATTAACAAATGTTATTAATTAATTCACTAGTTTTACAAGTTATAAAACACATAAATTTAATGTATGCTTCATATAAAATTAGTTTTAAATAAAGCAAATCATTTCCTTCCAATTAAATCAATTTCGTGATTGGCATTCTGTATAAAAAGCTTCTCTGTATTAAATATAGATAACAATCTAACGCTTATGATCAAGACCTCGTATTGAGCAAGTATACGACGCGTAGGCAGATGAATTTTCTAAAGCCGTGCGTAGGCATCTATAATTTTGTGTACTATCATCAGTTGGTTCATGTTGTAGGTTGGACGATGATAGGCGTAGTAATTGTTCTAGTGGTTAGTATGTTCCACTGGCAATCACGAGATGCCGTGTTCGAATTCCGGGTTAGGCGACGTGTTTACTTTTTACGTAGAAAGCATCATTACTCCCATGCGTAGTGGGTCCAGGTTAAAACCTAGGGTTTAATACTAGAATAGCGCGGTAGGGTCTAAAAATCTAGCAAACTATTTAACGCAGCACATTTAAACAATGTTTACGAAACTGTTTTTGATGCCGTGGTAGTTTATGATTGAACGAACTGTCAGTTGTCACCCACACCGCGCTATAATGCAAATATGTATTCAAAAATCGAATATTGTGCGTTAATCTTTTTTGCTCCTAACATCTTTACGTTACTTGCTTAATTAAACTTGACGTTCCTTAAATTTAAAATTCAACAAAGCATTTGATACCTCAAAAAACATGATAATAAGCCAATGCTTATTACGTCAATACGTAAGTCGTATTTTGAATAATTTCTACCTACAAATGTGAGACAACAACACTTTGACCAATATAAGTAATTATTTGGACAACTAATAGCAATATTCAACGCCAATATAATTAGATTTTTTTATAAAGGAATACTACATTCGCCGAAAATGATAAAACTATCTTCCTATAATGAACATAATATAATGGCCTTAAAATTAAATAATTCATCAGTCACGCTTAACATTTAAAAAAAATAACAAGATTTTACTGTAGCGAGATATGGGTTTTTACCAAATACAATTAAATATATGTTGGAGCTACGAATTAACGGCTGTATTAGTCCAATCAGGTTATAATCAGTTGCTTAAGTTTCTCGACCCGGTTCTAACGATTTTCATATGTATCGGCTAGAATTTAAAACCGTTTTAATGTTTGTATGCATAAATTTTTATTTGGAATGTAAGTGCAGTTAGCCATGCGATAACTTTACGACTGATATCGACTAGAACCGCTTTGACAATTAACAATTAATTAAATTGGATACATTTAATATTTTGTCAAAATTATCATACCACTGTTGACTTCGATAAATATGTATTATTTTGTAAAATTATTAACAGTGGTGAATTACATCATTGGTCGTAGGGCTCCCTGAAGATGAAGTGATGTCGAGGTAAAGAACGTCGGTGGAGTAAATACATAGAATGTTTCTGCCATAGCGATGCCATTTAACAATTTTTCACAATACTGACGTGTCGTATGCACTTAAAAATCCATCAATGAATATGGTGCGAGGCGACGTCTTATTTACATATCTGGTCAAACGCGTTATATTTCCATTAATAATTCCTCTCAAATGTATATTAAATATATTCAACGAGCAACTATTCTATGAGCAACGTCCAGCGTTTATTTTATAGCAAACGACACTGCTTCGTCGTGTGGAAAAGTAAATAATGACCTGTGAATGCCAGGAGAGACAACGCGATATTGTAACTGTAAAACCATTTCGTTGAATTACACAAAATTAATGTTGCTACGTTTAAATGGAAACACTATTAGATTTTACGAAAAAGGAATTTTCTGCATTTAGTATTTCTTCTTCCGAAATTCTCGTATCGAGAAGGAAATGTGAGGAGAAAAAGAACTTAATCTGAGTGTAATTTTTTTTTCATTGTTAATTCAGTAAACAGTCTTAAGTTAAACAAGTAGACATATTGAATTTATCCTTTACAAAATAATTCGCATCTTGCAACTTTCATTTTTACTTCATTTAAACGATAACTACCTACGCACGATTGAACGAGCCATTCCTTGATCTCAATTACTTTTACTACTGTATATGGAAATTGATTTAATAGCTTATGACTTGCCCCTTCATTTCTTATTACTTACTTAAATCTTGAAGGTAAAAATACATATCGGATGATTGCAATTGATACAAAATATGTTTTTAGTAGTTTATTTTTGTTACTTAGTACATAATAGTCGGGTCTAATAAGCTTGCGATTCATTCATATTAAGTATACTTATATATGAGGCTGCTAGAGCTAGAGTAACCTAACTGCAATTTTATGACTTGACTTATTTATATTTTTATAGTCTAAAATTGTTAATGATAATACAAATTCGTTTCGTTTAAGTTAATAGCGCATTTTTGTTTTCTTCCTTATTGAAAATCATGTTTATTAAATACTGTCTATAGTTTACGCGAGTAGTACACATTTAAATAAAAATATTAGTTAAACTTATTTGAAAATGATTTTTAACTTCGGCCCGACGTTTCGGATGCTTTGCAGCAGCCGTGGTCAAGGGGAGAGTTAAAAATCAATTACAAATAAGTTTAACTAATATATCGCGTTATAAACCGTTAAGTGTTTTATTTAAATCATGTTTATTGTTATTAGGCCGCTCTGGCTCTATATCTGGCAGCTTCATATATTTCTTATTAAATGTTTTGTCTCACACAGAAATATGAGATTAACTTAAAAGCTATTATTCGCATTATAATGCGAATCATTTCGTTATTTTGTATGACAAAACCAAACCGTACGACGAGTTATACACAATGAGAGATTGTAGTGAAAGGTTGAGCCCGAATGAAATGTTAGTGGATCAAAACTGGTTCCAGTGCTTCAGAATGCAACTAACTGGATAAAAACATTCCCCGAGACAAACCAGTCGTTGAGCTTTACATGCTAAGCTTTTGTACTCAGCCCGCTTGAGATTGGTTAGTCTACGCGCCTGGTCCTACCGAGAGGAAATTGCAAAGATACTTTCTGACATGAGACCCCGCTAATGACGGGAAATAGTATTGCAAATTTAAGCGTTCAATTCGACTGCACCGTCCGACCGTTGCGACATTTTCTCAATTGCGTTTCGATTGTATGTCATGGTTTAAAATAACACGTGAAATGTTAGGCTGCGGTTTACTAGAAACGACACGTTACGCTTGTTAAGACTACTGCTATTATATCCACTACAACCTGGAGTTGGCGCGTGAATACCGTAGATTACTTGTACAACGTTTGTGAGTAAAATCCTGTTTCCCCCTCGTGGGCATGGGGCCAACAGATTTCCAGGTTTCTTTCACTGATCCGTTATTTACTAGGCAAATAGTTAATCAGATTTCCGTGCCTGCCCGACCGACAGAATTTCTTGTTTCTATGAGATTCGGAGCCAGGACTTCTCGCGTTAAACGCAATACGTTTCAACATTTTGCTACAGAGGCGGTCATGTACATTGTACAGCACGACAAATTTGACGCTAGCCTTATTCGTCGGCTACTGTTGTACTATTACGACGTGTAATAGTAACCAATGAGATCTAATAGTTCCTTACGCTGCGTAATGCGTTACGCTGTGACGTTTATAGCAGACCGTAGCCTAACTCAGGGGCACTGAGCGCGACGTAATACAGTCATGTCAATACTATCACCTATGTCATCGGTATGGGTGCATTTGGGTCGACCGGACACCGGATTTCTACCCACACAACTATCCAAATCCAATGTTCATAAACCGTCCAGCGTTCGTAGCGACATTTGGACTCGCGAACGTGGGAGGCACCTTGCCAAGTTTATACTTGTTTACAAAGCGCTGTGATGAAACCTATCGATATTGATGTTATTTGTTGCTTTCATTTTAACTAAAGTATAAGAAAACTTAATGTATAATAAACATGTAGACATTAAGATATTTAAGTGTAGAACAGTATTAACAATAAGGAGCTTAAAATTTACAACTAAAAAAGTAGTGCATTGTTATCCAATATTTATATTTTTTGTTTCGAACGCTCAAGGGAGTAAAAACTACCTTTAATAATTATAAGCAGTCTAATTATAGCTTTAACAAAGCAGATATAAGTTACCTATAATAAAATTGTAATATTAAACAAATAATGATTGTTTGTGAACTTTTCCTTCTGAGAAATACTTGCATGTTCTATCAAATGGAAGTATTGAATTTATTGCTTATGACGTGATGATGCTGATGATGATCATCATACATCATCAGCATCATCAATGCTGATGATGTATGATGATATTATTTACAGCCTTGTACTTTGAGAATTGATCTTTATAAGCCTGAGGATCTAAACACAATTGAATTTTAGAATGAATAAATGAAATGGGGAAACTCGACCGCAGCGTAACGTAAATTGAGCTACCTTGTCTAGAGTAAATATTGGCAGAATCCTATTTTGAGTCAAGCCATAACGTTTTTCAATTTTAATCCTTAAATAAAACATATGAAGAGGTTGAAAAAAATCGACGATGACGTATAGGTCGGTACGGTACGGTAGCTTAATTGGTTAGAGCAACAACACGTAACGCTATGGCTGACGGTATAAATCCTGCGTGTGGCGTATAATAGTTTAACCTAAAATCGATTTTTAATTCAACTATAGTTACCCAAGAATTACAATACAGTATTCAATAAAACAATTGGTCATTACTCTTAGCACATAATAGTCACCTTGAGAAAGTAGGCAGCATAAGTTAGCATGTTCATACCTAATGTCGCGACTCAAACGCAATATATTTTATTAAAATTTCATATGTGTGCCGTACTGAGAGTTAAGACAAGGTTTTTACGCTTGATTTAATCTTTTCTAATAACTTGACTTACCTTGAGTGGTCCTTAAATACTATTGTCTAACAGGCAGGTAGATTTCAATTTTCACCGCAAAGTGGTCCTACCGCCGTAAGGACCACTTTCTTTAGATTCTGCTTATTGTTTGAATAATACAAAAAGGGGCTTGGATTTTTATTTGTCTGCTGTTGGAGATTATTGTTGTCTGAATATTTTGTAAAGTGCGTTGACTAAAATTGTTTGTTATTAACTTTGTGAAGGTTTACTGATATTTACATGTTATTAAAAATAAAAAGAATACACATATTCTTCCACGTTTCCCTACCAATTCAAGTAATAGCCGATAAACTAAAGTCTAGTAATGACCAACACTTAATAACTTTAAACACTGTTTAAAAGATGACTGAATAATATTTCTTTATGAATTCGATCCATACTATATTTCAAAGATGGTTTATTTGCTCAAACTATTTGTAATTAAAACATTCTTCTCTTTATTTCCAGTATGCATCGGCACAAACGGTCGAATGTCAGTGCCCTCTAACCGCGACACCCACTACAGAAATCTGCGGGACAGATTCACGAATTGTACTTACGTCGACGGCAATTTGGAACTCACATGGCTAGAAAATGAGACTATGGACCTGTCCTTCCTTCAACATATCAGAGAAGTCACCGGCTATGTTCTTATATCATACGTAAAGGTGGCACACATAGTTTTACCACAATTACAAATCATAAGAGGACGAACGCTATTCAAATTAAACGTGAGAGAAGAAGAGTTTGCTTTGCTCGTAACTATGTCTTCGGCTTTCACATTGGAACTGCCAGCCTTACGAGACGTTCTGAGAGGTAGTGTGGGAATATACAATAATTATAATCTGTGCCATGTCAAAACTATAAACTGGGAAGAGATTATAACGGGTGTGAACGCCACATACGTTTTCGTCTACAAATTTAAAGTTCCTGAAAGAGAATGCCCACCTTGCCACCCAAGCTGCGAAGCCGGCTGTTGGGGCGATGGACCACACAACTGTCAGAAGTTTTCCAAAACAAACTGCAGTCCCCAATGTGACCAAGGACGCTGTTTCGGACCCAACCCTCGAGATTGTTGCAACACCTTCTGCGCTGGCGGCTGTACGGGACCGTTGCCGAGTCAATGCCTCGCTTGTAGAAATTTTTATGATGAAGGTACCTGCTCGCAAGAATGTCCACAGATGCAAAAGTATAACCCGACAACATATTCGTGGGAGCCAAATCCCAACGGAAAATATGCATACGGCGCTACATGTGTAAGGAATTGTCCAGAGCACCTTTTAAAAGACAATGGTGCCTGTGTTCGGAGTTGTCCCCCAAACAAAACTGCGGTGAATGGTGAATGTATTCCGTGTAATGTGACTTGCCCAAAAACCTGTCGCGCAGAAAGACCAATACACTCAGGAAACATTGATAGTTTCAAAGACTGCACTATTATCGATGGATCAATAGAAATTCTTGAGATGACATTTACAGGCTTTCAACATATTAACCCAGATTATTCCTTTGGAGAACGATATGCTAAAATGGAGCCTGATGCATTGGAAATATTTAGCACTGTACGAGAAGTTACTGGATACTTGAACGTACAAGCTCATCATCCGAACTTCACAAGCCTATCGTACTTCAGAAATTTGGAAGTAATTGGAGGGCGTCAAGTAGTGGAGAACCTATTTGCATCTCTCTATATTGTTAAAACCTCATTGAAGTCATTGGGCTTGAAATCTCTGAAAAGAGTAAACTCCGGTGCAATAGCCATCATGGAAAATAGACAGTTGTGTTTTGCTGATAAAATAGCTTGGAACAAACTTGTCAAATCGAAAGATCACAAGCAGATTATACAAAAGAATGGGGACTTAAAGAACTGTGGTGAGTATAACATGCGTAGCTTTTCTCTTAGTTTGAGGATCCTCAAAGTTACATTTCGTTCATGTTTTACCTTAGTTATAAAAGCACAGCGATATGTTTTTTATCTTGTTACAAAGCGAATTTTACATGTCTTCATTACAACACATGCTCAAAATACATTAACCACTAACATGCTGGCATACACTGTACAAATTTTCAATAATGAATATTGTGTATATGTAGTGTTTTATAACAAGAGTGTATTTCAGAAAAAGCAAATATGGTATGCGATCTACAATGTTCAGCCGATGGTTGTTGGGGACCCGGGCCTGATCAATGTCTCTCCTGCGAAAACTACAAATTTGGCGACATCTGCATCCAAAATTGCAGTGTACATCCTGGGTCAGTACCACGTTATAAATAAAGTATAACATGACAATATGACTAACAATAATGTGCTTTGCGCGATGCGATTGTTTATATTATACTTGTGAAATAAAATATTTTTATTAGTGTGTATGTTAGTATACTAAGAAAATATTTTTTTATATTCCAGGCTCTACAAAGCGGGCGCAAAAATATGCAAACAATGTCATTCAGAATGTCTAGATGGATGCTCTGGGCCTAGCCGAGCGAACTGTACGAAATGTAAGCACGTCCGAGATGGTCCTTACTGTGTAGCTGAGTGCCCGGATTCCAGATATCCATCAGATAATGGAACGTGCCAACCATGCCACAGCAACTGTTTCAATGGATGTACCGGTACAGCTAATACCGTTGGAATCGGGGGTTGCAACTCTTGCAAGAAAGCAATAATAAGCGAGGAGGCTACAGTTGAAAGCTGTCTTAAAGAAAACGAACCTTGTCCAGATGGATATTACAACGAATGGGTGGGGAATGTTAAGCCATTGGAGGGGAAAGTAAAAGTAGTATGTCGTAAGTGTCATCCACTGTGCAAAAAATGCACTGGATTTGGCATTCATGAACAAGTATGTCAAGTTTGTAACGGATTCAAACGCGGAGACCAATGCGAAGATGAATGCCCTTCAGACCACTTCACCGACGAAATAAGTAGAATCTGCTCACCTTGTCATTCCGAATGTCGTGGTTGCACGGGGCCCGAATCTACAGATTGTGTCAAGTGTCATAACTTGAAAATATTTTTGAGTGATTCGAATACTGGACCATTTAACTGCACAGACTCCTGTCCAGAAGACATACCACATAAAATATATTTCGATGAACTCCTACAAAATCCAATCGATGAACCGTATTGTTCTGCATTAGCAAATGGCCCACCAACTATGGCCACTGCTAAAATACCGACAGTACTTGTTATTATTTTGGTACTAGCATTTATCCTTCTAGTTATTCTTGCCATAATAGGGTACACCTGTAGACAGAAAGCAAAAGCTAAGAAGGAAGCTGTTAAAATGACAATGGTTTTGACTGGTTGCGAAGATAACGAGCCCTTACGCCCAACGAATGTAAAACCGAACTTGGCTAAACTTCGGATTGTAAAAGAAGCGGAACTGCGTCGGGGTGGCATGCTTGGCTTCGGTGCCTTTGGCAAAGTATATAAAGGAGTTTGGGTACCTGAAGGAGAAAATGTTAAAATTCCGGTTGCTATCAAAATTTTGAAAGATGGAACAGGTGCCAATACGAGTAAAGAATTCCTAGAAGAAGCATACATAATGGCCAGTGTGGAACACCCAAACTTATTACAACTACTTGCCGTGTGTATGACCAATCAAATGATGTTAATTACGCAACTTATGCCCTTAGGTTGCTTGCTTGATTATGTGAGAACACACAAAGAGAAAATCGGATCAAAGGCATTCCTTAATTGGTGTACACAAATTGCTCGTGGTATGGCATATTTAGAAGAGAAAAGGTTGGTGCATAGAGACTTGGCGGCAAGAAATGTATTGGTACAGACACCTAATTGTGTAAAAATAACAGATTTCGGTTTAGCCAAGTTGTTAGATATAAACGAAGATGAATATAAAGCAGCAGGTGGAAAGATGCCTATAAAATGGTTAGCGTTAGAATGTGTCCAACATAGAATCTTCACGCACAAAAGTGATGTTTGGGCATTCGGGGTTACGATATGGGAGATCTTGAGCTACGGTGCAAGACCCTATGCTAACATATCTGCTCGAAATGTACCCGAACTTATAGAAAATGGCTTGAAACTTCCTCAACCCGCAATCTGCACTCTCGATATCTATTGCGTGATGGTATCATGCTGGATGTTGGATGCCGATAGTCGACCGACTTTCAAACAACTGGCAGACACATTTGCTGAAATGGCTAGGGATCCTGGTCGGTACCTTGTAATTCCTGGAGATAAATTTATGCGTCTTCCATCCTATTCTACACAGGTCAGTACTACTACAAATACACTGTTACATAAAATAAAATCTCTTATAAAAAATTATGATTCTATCAGAATCTTTTCTCTTATCTTTTATTGCAATATTAATAGAAATCCATTTGATTTTCAGGACGAAAAGGAATTAATAAGAAACCTCTCATCAGCAATGGATGGGCCAGAGCCTTTGGTAGAAGCTGATGAATACTTACAGCCGAAGTTCAAGAATTTACCTAGCACTGCCACGACGAACTCTGTGGTGACAGCAGGCGTAGAAACACACTCTGGTTCGTTGAAGCCGGGAGCGTCTTCATCGTGGACAAATAACGGACAAGGTGCTGAATGTGTTACTGCTGACTCCACAAACAAACCAGAAATATGGGATCAAGACTTATTGCGCTACAACAATACAAATAGCAATTCTGATGGGGCTGACACGCGACACTATTATAACAACGGCGTGTGCGCTTCGGAAACATCCAGCTCAAGGTATTGCAGTGACCCCATGAAAGTTAAACCAGATGAGGAGGGTAAATTCGACAGCATGTCCAAAATAAAGGAAGCACAGGTCGGTAACCTAAAGCTAAATTTGCCCTTAGACGAGGATGACTATTTAATGCCTTCTCCACAACACACACAAAATGCTTCCACGTATATGGACTTAATAGGAGAAGGTGCTGAACAGCCGGATGTGAAAGACTTGTGCTATAGTGGGTTTGTTGCTTCAAAGAGGTGTGTAGACAACCCGGAGTATCTGATGTCTGACCAGAGTGTTCCACCACAGACTATCGGTATCCCGACAGAACCATTGCCTCTTGAGAGTCCTAGCGAAGGCAGCGGCAGTGATACTACTCCACAACCTACAACGAGCAAATACTTACCCCAACGATCTGTAGAGGAGGAATCGATGTCTGACCACGAATACTACAATGACTTACAACGAGAGTTACAACCCTTACGGCGGAATGAGACAACTGTGTAAATATACTGTACATTAAAATTTGTCCCATTCCTACGGAGATATCATGCGTTTTGCTACCTGACTTCTCTGGGATTTTAGTGAGACCAATTCTGAGCTTATAATGGCGTAAAATATACGTGAACAAAGCTCAGAGCAATGTGTCTTACAGAAATGAGGGTTTGATTAAACAGCGTTGCCTTAAAGAAATAGGCAGTTATTTCTATAGATCCAGCGGTTATTACAATAGAAAGAGACTACAGTGTAAATACAAAGTGTACATTTTACGTGTTTATAGACTGATCTCCGCTAAAGACATTTCAGATTAAAAAGCGCGCGCCCCATGTGCCATTTTTTGATGGCTAGTGTTAGTTGTTGAAATTCATCAAGCTAAGAATTTTATTTTAGTTATAATCCAATTTTGTTATATCGCTCTACTTAATTTTGTAAAAACTGTTATGAACTGTAATTTGTATTAAATTTTATTATCGTAAGTGCTAATAGGAAACAAAACAAAATATTATTTATTAATTATAGATTAAGGAAGGCTATGTTTCCGTTTCCGAGTGTAGTTTTAAGCGAAAATCTATTTTAATTAAAACTGTGATAATTAGATTAATTTTTGTAAGACGTTTAACAATAAATCAATTTTCAGTAAAAGAGCATTGCCATTTAAGACAATAAGTTTATAAAAGACAACATATACCTGTATTTTTATATATTAAGACTTACAAATATACATAGACTACAATGCAATGTATGTGATAATACGTAAGGAGTAAGGTATTGAAATATTAAGATATTACTTGCTAGCTAATTGAGTATACTTGTACTACAATAACAAATGTATATTATATGGTGAATTTCGCTAGGGCCACAAATTGGTAGGGTTTAAAGTTTCAAACAACTAACGTGGCTTCATAGTTTGTCTACCATAATATGCTGTATAAATACGACCAGATATTTACAACACCTTTTTAATATTGCTCGGTGGTTTAACTGATATTACCATTCTACCATATGAGCTAGCATTCCGAAAATATGCATATTTAACAAAATCGTAAATTCCTTTGCTTGTGTCCATACCTGGTTGTTAAGGTAAAAAACAGATTGATCTGATAGTCAACACTATAAGCCTTTAAATTTTACAAAATTAATAATAACAAAAAGATTCATTATGAATATTTACTAACGGATGTGCCCTGTAAACGTGGATAAAACTTTTTACGAATTTCCAATTTCACCACAGGGAAAGCTAGGTACGTGCGAGCTTCCCCGTTGTTTGTAAATATGTGTATACGAAAAAATAAGATTTTATACGAATGATATTATGTATTTATGGCAGAATATAAAAGACATTAGTTAAGATCGAGAGAGCACTGTTAAAAGCACAAACAAGCTCAAGTAAACTTTTATTCCCATATTTTATGAGATATTTATAGGGTTTTATTTTAAACCAAACCTCGTTTGCCATGTAACATGTAAATATGGATAGTATGTAAAATATATATATTATATGAAATGAAATATAAACGTGACGTTGATAATACCTTCACGATAAAATAGGTATCCATTTTAAGCCTGTAAATTAACTCTGTGCCATTAAATCTAAAGTTAATTATGGAACGTTGCTTCGTTATAAAATCACACACGTTTCTTGCCCACTTAACTTAAAATTACAAAAAAACATAGGTACTTATACGAAATAATGAAACTACTTAATTTTAATTATCAGATTTTTTTTTACGTGTTGCAAACTTTTTGCGATGATCGATTGAATGTTTATTTTACACGGCTAGTTTGTTACGAATATAGATAAAACGGAAAATGTGGGTACTGTATACCTAAATAAATAATAAAAAATATAATATGTTTTATTTACCTGTGCCCTTTTTTTATAGACTTAATTAACATTTCTGCGTACACGCCAGATTCATTATTAGTTAAATTATAATTGCGGAAACAGATTTATCTATACCTATTAGTATTATAAAGAGACTTGCTTGATTGTTTGTTAGAAATTATAAGGCTTGAAAATTACTCGACGAAAAAAAATTTTACTGTCAGGAAGCTACACTAATTCCGGTGAAAAAGTTTAAAAAGTTAAGGATCCATACTCAAATAAAATATCTACAAAAAATACAATTAATAGTTATGGCACAATCGTTTTCAATTGTAAACGTTTAATGCAAGTTCTTTCATAGCTCTATTTATATTTTGGTATTAATCCTTATCAGAATAAATAATTTTATATTTCAGAATGCTTCCATTGCCATTATAATGACCATTGCAAATTATTCAATATGAACATCGATTCCAAAAGTTAACACCAGTTTAAAATATAGGTTATTTATAAAAATGTCGGCGGTGGCCGCTCCCATCACTGGGATGGGTCTGTATTGAGCGGCTTGCAAACCCTTCTGGATTGCCATCACACGAATAAACATTAAACATTGTGGTAGGGTTATTTAATTTTTTGTTTATATCAGTGGATGGAGTAAATCGGTTGATTTATATTAAAAAATAGTATTTTACTTATGTTAATACATCGATCACTAATACATTATGGTGGTAGAATGGTAGGGTGAGGGGGGCAGAGTAGCGTGGGAGTGGGTGACTTTAAAAGGATTTGAGGTGGAATCGGGCTCTGCGCACGGGGTGTGCCAACAGAGCAGTAACTGCTCCAGAAGCTGTACGTCATATACCTAAATATTGTGAGAAGTGGACTTAAACCTATTATGGATTATTCTAGTGCTTTGTTCCATTGCTAAGTATTTGAAAGGGCGATAATACTAGAGGAAGTGTGTATAGTCTACAATTGGAATTCAAACATATTTTTAAGGAATTTATATATTTCATGTTCGATTTTTTCCTTAAATTAACCCCTCGCAAAGTTAAAAAGAAATGTTTGGGACTGTGTGTATAATAATTAATAACTTACCCGGATTTGCACACACGTGCAAATCCGGGGCGGCTACTAGTACACTATAGCTGCTATCAGATCTACCAATCAATACTACAAATCCCACTTGGCTAATAGATGCAAAATCTAGCTAGACTAGCTAAAATATAGGTCCACAAAAAGCCTTACTTTTTGGACCACCCAGCTCAATGTACATATTGGATTACTAGAAGGTTCAGGTTTAAGATAAACAAAGGAATGCAGGTAATGCCTTTATTGAAATATTTGCTACTACATTCACTTAATTAGAGACACAACATAGACCGAGACAGTAAATAACTTAGATAGAATTAAAAAAGGACGGAAAATAGTAAATTAAGTAAATCAGTCGTAACTTAAAATACATAATATTAAGTAAATACATAGTAGGTTATAAATAAGAGAATGATAATATACTGAGACAGGTTATACTAACATTTAAATTCAACACGAACCTTAATACTAAGAATAAGTATGGATATGTCCGTCTAAGATCAATCGAGATTATATGTTTACAATAACAAGTATAAAGGGTCAACAGCAATAAGGGTAAATCATAAGATATTAACCCATATATAATACATATACTATTCACTTGAATCCGTTAAAAAAATAGAACTATGTAAGAATAACTTCTAGATTAAAGAGACTAAGTTTATATATTTGGCCTTTTAAATGCATTTGAATAATTCGACTTTAATAAGACATTCTCTATTACCCCTACAATAATATTGGTTATATATTTGAGCATAAAATTGACTTTATTTGTTCACTACAAATTTTCAACAACACCACGACGGCGAAGCCATAAATAACGGTATTTATATTGTCAGTCTATGTATGTATGTATGTTCTACTAAAACTACAAGACACAATCCAATTAACAAGGTGTCACACGTACATTTTATAAAACTTGTTATGTCAAGTAATAAAATTGCTTAATAAAAATTAATAAAATAAGGTTTTGCTAAGATGTATTTAGATAGAGCTGAACGACAACGGTATAGTCCTGAACCGTATCAACTATCAAAGTTGTGTATATAATCCTGTTTTTGATACAAATTTAAAAATATAATTTGGTAAGTTTTCATGACAGTTATATTACGAAAGTCAGTAGTAGAATGAATTACATCGAATCTGTACGAACATGAAGTTAAACAGTAACATACTTGACAACGCTTAATAAATATTAATTTGGCTAAACATTTAATTTAGTGATATAAATGCCATTCGTTACTTGTGGCTTCTTAAAGAGCAATATAATTAAATTGTTAATCGCATAATTAGCTAAGTGAACATTGATATGAATTTTATTTAGAGTAATGTAAACTCTATATAACGACACTCAATGGAATATGTATGTGCATTTAAAAGGAAATTAACCTCGCACTCGTTACATAAAAAAATCAATAAACGCTTAAGCTGTTATTTTTTTGACGAAAAATGTACCTTTTCAATAATATACATAGCTGCTTACAAGGCTTATTTCGTTGTGATTGAAAAACCGCTTTCAATATTAAAGAATTATATATATTTATATCGTACTGAAAGTGAGTTAGAACAACCAAAGGCGAATAAAACCGCGGCTCTGTCGTTATATGGAATTAACATTTTACAGAATATATTTCGATAATAATTTTATTTTAAATGCAAATATGTTCTATTCGTGATATAATCGATGAGAAATCACGTGCTAACACCAATAACATTGTTATACGTGATATATCATTCTGAAGTGATTCCACATCTAGACAAAACAGTTAAGTAAGCACAATTGTATTGTTTGTATCGTGTATTTGTCACATTTCACTGCGTTCACTTTTCCTTGGTTCTGTATTGTCCTTCTTATTCCGTCTGTTTCTTCTATGTTTGCTGTTGGACAGTATTTCATAAGCTTGCTGTATCTCCATGAAGCGCTCTTGTGCGGCTCGTCTGAGAGTCTCGTCCTTTACTTTATCTGGATGATTCTCGCGGGATAGCTTTCTCCAAGCGGTGGTTATCTCCTGCTGGCTGGCGTCTACATTTAGGCCTAAAACCTAAACAGAAAAAAAAAACAGAAAAATAGTATCAGCATTTACGTTAAATGAACTTGAACTAGTTTTTTGTCAGTGTTTGTGTTCACAAATCCATAATTTAAATAAATGCAATATAACGGCAGTTTGTTAATAAAAAAAAGATTTTTCTCTTACTTACTTTGCGTGCTAGTTGTCTTATAACATTTAGACAATTTAAACATAAAACGTAATCAACCAATGCTCATTTTTTGACGACAGACCGTTAGTTCACATTTTAGATTTATAAAAATGGTAAAAGTTGTATGTCAAAACAAAACAATTTGAACTTCGAACTGTTTCTTCATCAAATATGTATGTGATAATGCTGTTACCTTGTAAGCATTTTGTTCACCATGCGGATCTGACAAATCTATAATTTGCTTCCACACCTCATACCAGCCATGATGTTGAGCATATTGGTAGGTATCCAGAAGACACTGCTTGACATCCAGCCACCTGCAATTGTGCATTAATTATTATTATTAAAGGTACATACAGAGGAAGTATGATCTAATATCTTAGAGCTCAAATTAAGAAATGTGTATATTATTAAGGAACTCTTGTTCAAAACATACCATGGGCTTGTGAAGAAGTGATGCATTGCTTCATAAATGGGTACTTCGTCACCTTCGCTGTCCGTAATGGTTCCATGGAAGTACAAGTAACCACACCATAATGACAGGTACAGACAAGCGCATACGCCCAAAACAGCCGCCCGCCTGTTAAGTATACATGGTTAATACCCAAGAAAGAGTATATATGGCATGGCAGCCATATAAAAAAAATAATATGGGCTTTCTAGAGTATAGTAATAAGTATCACACATGTTTAATTGTGTAAAAAAAAGGATGATGATATAGTTAAAATTGCTGGATTCAAACAGAAAGAAAAAGCCAAAAATAGAATTTTCTGGAAAAGCATGGAGGAGGCCTTTATTTTTTTAGGAAGTCTATGACGTTTATACAAATAATAGGAAACATATAAAAAAAAATTTAACTGTCAACAGTGCAAGTTTGTTAACAGTATTTTTATTAATATTTTGTTTGTAAATAAGAATAGTGTGTAGGACTATCTTGTCTGCCCGTTCCACATCGCATTAAAACTGCTTATTAAAATAAGTAATTTAAGTTTAGATGTTTATGATTTGACATGCCATGAAATAGTAAATCTATCGCTGCTACTAGACACAGCATAAATTACTTACTTGAGAACATGACTTTTCTTAGGAGGTGTTCTTCGCCACTCTTTGCTAAATGTATCAAAAGCCAGAGCCGATGCAACCACCATTGTTGTGAACCAAACAGTTTCATCATAAATGTAATACCGAATGGGGTACGTAGCCAGCGCAGCCAATAACGGCCACTTCAGATTACCTTGTTCCCGCCCAATATTGCCAACTGTCCACACACCTGTAACATGTTCTCTGTTAGATATGTGAAAGTTGTATACTACTATTTGTGACCTACTTGTTAAAAGAAAATTTTCTACAAGAATAACGTAGTATTTTAAAAACTTGAAAATAGACACTATGATCATATTAAATGTAAAAAAAGTTTATTTGTATTTATATATTTTTAAATAACAGCCACTGCACACAGTAATAATCAGGTGTATAGCCATTAATAAATATAATGATATAATAATAATTGGAAGAGTAGGTAGCCTCCATAGCACTGATATAATAATAACCATATGATAAAATAAATTTATTGTCAGGCATTACATGTAGAAAAATCCTAGTTCTATTGATTTTAACTCTAGTTCAATGGAACTTACCAAGAGCAGCAACAACAGGTACAAGACAGTTGAGGTATCGCAAATTTAAGCCCCAAAATTCATCAGGCGGTATAGCCAACATCATCATCTGTCCCCACGAGTATCCAACCATCAACATTCCAGTGAAACGATTCATAGAAAATGGAGGCTTTACATGGAAAATAGAAAATCTAATTCACTACATGTAACGAGGCTCAACTGCATAAAATCACAATTGTCACATCAAGCGTTTATTCAGGTTAGACATTGAGTAAATATTTCTGTAGCCAATACAATCAATGTCAAAAATCAAATTAATTATTAACGGTTAGTATTATCTTGTCAGCCATATATATAAAGAGTACATAATAAGGGTTAGCATTCACATAGTACTTATGATCATAAGACAGACTTCTTGAATAGGGAAAAAAATAATATGTTGAGTTGGTCATATAATTAACAAAGTAACAATTATCACATTATAAATACTAATATAAAATACATCAAATACTAAATGTCTGTTAATATATTAAAAACTTTACTATAAAATTGTCTCTATAGACAAACGCTATAAGTTCAAAATGATATTAATAACATTTCCAACCTCATCTAAACTGCTAATTTGACTTTTAAATTCCACAAGTATACACAACTAGATGTTTTCTTAATAATACAACCGCTACTTATTTCATTTTGTATACTATGCAAAATTTCAAACTCAACCCATTAAGTTTTTAGTTTGTTATCAATAAGTATTAAGATAAGTTACATAAAAGTTAGTTAACAATACCTTAACCAAAAGCTCCCCATCTCCACAAAGTCTGTGGTGAAAAGAACACTATATTAATATAGAGTGTATTGAAAAACGTGTATTTTAAAAGCTTTAAGCTCTGTGATAATATTAGCACAGTAGTAATAAGAATAAAACAATCAAATAAGATAATTAGTTTTACCTTTTTGTATTGACGCATCCTGTTGATTAACTCTTGGATGTACTGTGGATCTTCGTTGGCATCTCTCACGTATCTTGGGATTCGGAATACTTCTCCTAACCATCCGACTCCGAAACCACCCAACGTAGACCACCAAATAAAAGCATGTCTATCGCGACGCAAATAAAAATGATGCAGGCCCAATATTCCGCCAAATAACCAGAAAACGTAAGCCCAAACCACGGATTTACGACCACTTGACGGATGTACAACTTTCGCAGTCATTTTTGTTAAATAAGGAGAAAAATTTTACGGCGGCCTAATTACCTCAATTTAATGAAAAAGAAATCACGAAAACATACAACTTATTTAAAGAAATGTCTCTCGCCACCTGTTCGTTGCAAAGTGATTAACATGCCCGGAATTTTAACAATAGTCAAGATAAAATCGATGCAGAATTAAATTTCTAAAAACTGCTTGTTAAAAGAAACAGTTCCAAATCTTAAGAAGCCAAATCAGAAACTGAAAACAACACGTCATAACGTTTATACGTCATTTGAATATGGAATCAATGATCAAGTCAATTGTGCAGTTCACGTTAGGTTGGTATTATAAAGTTAATTGTCAAACTGTAATGTCACAGACAATACTCATATACTAAAGAATACAGATTACCACAGATGCACAGACGCAATGAAATCATAATTAGGTGTATGTTGTGATAATAATGTAACGGTAAGTTTTCTTGATATTTTAGCCGGTCTTTACCTTATTTTTAAATATAAATTATTACAAAATTTAAAACCGTTTTATTATCTAATTTGTTATAACCCGGAAATAAACAACCTAGTCTATGAACGACCGGAAGTTAGTGCAACGTCAATCGTTAATCGAAGTTTTTTTCGTGCAGTATTAAAAGACGTCAATCAATCAAATGGTCTAATCATACTTTTTATTTTTCTATCTTCTTCTTTATTACATTTACACGTTTTCTTTTTCAAATAAACTACAATGTATTGTTTATTTATTTCTAATAAAAATAATGGACTGTTGAAATGTGTGTAATTGTATATAGACAAACTATAAAATGTCGTGTAAATTTTATTAATTGCCGTCGAAGGCAGATATTACTTTAGAAATAGTATAAATGTCTACAACCATGAATTTCGATGATAGTTCGAGTAGTGGCTACGGTATGGGAGAGACGATTTACGGCACCCACGAAGACTCCCATGTAGTGATGTCAGAGAAGGTGCAAACATTAGCTGGAAGTATTTATCAGGAATTCGAGCGTATGATAGCGAGATATGACGAAGATGTGGTGAAGACTTTGATGCCATTGCTGGTTAATGTTTTGGAATGTTTGGATTCCGCGTACCAAACTAACCAGGAGCATGAAGTGGAACTAGAACTATTACGTGAAGACAATGAGCAACTTGTTACGCAGTATGAGCGCGAAAAGGCAGCGAGGAAGCACGCGGAACAGAAGGTAAGCAGTGCAAAACTATTACAATCTCATAGACATTCACTTAACATCCTTTGTTGCAATAAACAAGGTCACAATTTAGTTACTGTTTGTGTTTTCTCTATAACTCATCCGTTTTTTTCTATATGTTAATATCAAATTCAATTTTCCATATCAATGTGTTCACCATTCTGTTATCTCAATTTCAAGGTAAGCTAGTTAAAAGGAACCTTATTAGATTATTTTGCATAATGTGAAGACAACAATTAAGTAGCGTCTATGGTTACTATATTTTTGTATCTTTATGAATAAAAAGTACTTCAAAATCTTTGTTTTAAATTTTAAGTGTCCCACTGATGGGCCCATGTACACACAGGCCACATAAGAGAATGATAACACCAACTTCCAAAATTCTAAGCATTAGAAAATTTCAAATACAAAGCTCTAAATTAGCTTAAACCAGATAAAGTGATAATTCACTCTATAATCTAAATGTATGAAATAATTTAATTGTTTGTGTTCAATAGTTGATAATAATTTAGCAGTTCTGTTGTCTTACTCTAAGTAGAAAATATGAAAATTTTCTTTTGTGTACCTTAAAACCTGCATGTTGATTTACTCATTAGCACAGCAGCTATTGATACAAAGAATTGTTTCCTAGTATTTTTATTTCCTAGAAGAAATTGCTTCTTATCAGTAGAGTCACTTATCTATTAGTTCTGCAGTTCTTAGTACACTTTTATAGGAAGAAGGAGAAAGAAATTCATAGTGGTTTTGAGAAGGCATAAAACATCTGCGTATATATATTTAAAAGTAAATGAAAAGAACAATTTTAAATTGCCTACCACATAATCAGTTTATATGTCCTAAATAAGTTTTATATATGTGTATAAGAATTCTAAGCAAATGGAATAAAAACTATTGTTTAAATAACAATTGATTCTTTCCTGTAGTTGCTGGAAGCAGAAGATCACTATGAAGGGGAAAGAAAAGATCTGACAGGAAGACTAGAAGCTTTGGACAGCATTGTGCGGATGCTTGAACTAAAGCACAAGAACTCCCTCGATCATGCAAGCCGTTTGGAGGAACGTGAGAATGAGTTAAAGAAGGTACGTAGTTTAAAAATTCTAAACATGTTTTTACTGTCTTTCTTGTGATAGTTTAAACAGTCCATTTATTTATTATCTTTACAATCTCAAATGTGCATGCATATTCATCTTCATCACTTGAATTACTCTACAAACAATTTAACTCAGTGCAAAGTGGTCGCTGTGTGCGCTAGTGCTATACTAGTGTGAACTTGTTTGCATGTACTATATTGCAAATGCTTGATCAGATTTCTGTGCCCTGTTATGTTACCTCAGAATTACGAACCCAGAGTTTCTCGTGCTGATCCCAATGCCCTGCAATACGTTTTTATGATAGAGGCAGACAAGCATGAGATTTACTTGATGGAAGGTGAAAATCGCCAGCTATATAACAAGATCGGATGTGTACCAGTTTTGGCTTTTGAATATTCGGAAATCCATTGACTGAAATTATTATTTTCTATCGGGGACACCTCTAGAAGGCCGGGTGATCAGTCCACATCATCAACTGACCATTGATTGAAATAAAAACACGAATTTCGGCTTTTGTATCTGTAGACGGAATTTCGACAATCTTGCCACCTATTCAATATCCAGATTTCCATAACCCTGCAGATATAATGGAAAATATATATTATGTTAACAGGAATATGCGAAGTTGCACGAACGCTACACGGAGCTGTTCAAGACTCACATGGATTATATGGAACGCACTAAGCTACTTCTGAGCACGGCTAGCGATCGCAGTGAAGTTCGTGGTAGGCTTGGCCTAAACCCTGTTGGGAGATCTAGTGGTGAGGGAGCTCTGCTTTTTCTTCTCCTTCACAGAATAGTGGATCGGGAAACCACAACAGCTTTATATGTTTTGGGCAATCTTTCTGCACCCAACTCTTATATACTCTCTGGTGATATCCAACTTATTTCTCAATGTAACGTTTGTGTGCTTCTGTTGAATAATTTTAAATGTTTCAAAGTAGGTCACAAGGTCAATATTTTAAGGAGTTTAAGTATTTTGAATTAAATTAATTTTCAGTGATGTTATATATAATTTTTGTATTTAAATGGAAAGTTAAGTATTATATAATTCATATGTATCTGAACACCGCAATAGAGCAATAAAGGTTGTATTTTTTATATTAATTATAATCTGGATGTTTCATGAGAATAGGATACAATAATTTTTTAATAATAATACTTATAGGTCCCATATCATTTGGTTTCGCCTCACTGGAGAGTTCTGTCAATGTAGTAGAGCAGACTGAAAGTATACCAGGAAGCCCAGTGAGCCTCTCATCATCTCCGTCATCACCACCTATTGGTATTACCTATTGGTTCCGCTACCTACTAATATTAGAATATACTTAATTGGATATATGTTATAGCTTATAAGTAGTTGTGTATGTCCTATATTTATTGTAGAATTACTAACCAGTGTAGGTGGGGTGGGTTAAAGAAAATTATATATTTTAGGTTCTGAATTAGCAGCTGTGAGGACAGTGGAGAGGGCCCACCAAACAGATCCGATTAAGCAACAGAGTCAGGTAAGATTCACCATTATGTGACTACACTATGTAATGACAGGGCGTGTCTGAAGTGCGTAATAGTATTAAGGGCGAGTTTTTTCAAACACACAGTAGTAGTACAAAGAGGGAGGTATTCTTTCTATATTTACTTCACTCAGTTTATGACAATGAAAGGTATAATAATAATAATTTAATTTATTAGACCATTGATCTATATCTTAAATCTAATGAGTGTTAGTTTGGTTAGTAACAATTTGATTTGAGTTGTTAGTCAATAGAATTAAAAACATATATAACACAATAGGTTAAGAAAAGGTTCTATTAAGACAATAGATGGATCATCTATTGTCTTAATAGAAGTTTAATATATAACAAACCTTATTTGAGATATATATTCCCTGAAGCAACTCGTCCAGGTGACGGCATAAATCATGAACAATTATATTTATGTGTAAAACTATTTTATTGTCCATATCAAAATAACATACAAGAATAAGCCTGGACTTCGCCGCGTTGCAGTGTTGCAGCCGTCTTCGCTGCATTCGCAGGACGACGAGAAATGCACGTTACCAAATTTCGATAGTTCACACTTTAGCGGCTCTGTGTATACATACGCACATTCTCTTATGATAGTCACATCCCGGTCCTCTGTGAAGTACTGTATTTGCGACAGTAGCCGGCATACTGGTGCAACATCGCGTCTACTGGAATTGCACTCCTTCAAATATCTCAAATTCAAGTTGTTCGAAAGACAACCAGGGTTGTATGTCGTCGAACATTGATAGCAGTTCAACGTTAATACTTGCTCGCACATCGCTAGTAGAACTATTAGTACAAATGCAAAACTCTCATAAATATTAAATCGCATTTTATTTAAAAGGTCGCAAATGGTGTTGACATTTTGTCAACGTTAGTGTTCTTATTTTGAATTGGGTAGTATTGATTGTTTTAAAAAAGGTTGAGTTTTAGCCTATATTTTAAGCTGTCAACGAGCTACATTTGAATAACAGTAGACAGTAGTAGTTATACCGACATTCTTAAAATTCCGCGAGTATTGTAATTAAGCTTTGGGTTGTTTCTTAAATAATAGAAAAATACTACATCGAACAAATACAAAAGTATACGCCTCTGTATTAATTACTTTGTAGGCTACATCGCCGGTCGCACCTCCATCCACAAATACAGGAAAATCTCAGACAAAAAGTGAGAAACGTAGCGGGAACACTCTGTATCAAGAACTCGCTTTTCATGACACCGATGCGAATATTGTTGAAGGGGATGACGGAGACGTACCGATTACGGGTAATACTCATATAGAGAGATAAGCCTAGAAATAATAAGCTGAGAAAGAAATTATTTTCAGGTGTGCCCATGAGAGATTGGACAAATTAAAATATACTTAAATAAAACAATTTGAACGGCTCAAACGGCTGAACAATATAATACCTTATTGGTATGGATGCTTTGCAGTTTGAAACCATTGGGTATTTTATTTACATGTGTACTCAGTCTAATTTACTTACAATGTTTTGTATCAGATGACAGGAGATAGATCTTAACACTTCCAATCACTACGTCACTTTCACTGCGTTGTTAAGTTATAAAATTGGAAACCTGCAATAATTACGATGTAAAACCATATTTGTGTAATGATCTCGATAAATTTATTTTATAGGCAGCTGGGTACATCCGGGTGAATATGCGTCGTCAGGTGATTTTTTTTTAATTATTCAATCATTTATCATCGAATGAATTGTGAATCATTATTCTATTTTGGCATATAATTACTGGCGCGATGTAGAAACCGCATATAAGGCGCGTAATTGTGCTCCAAATATTCGTTTTATTCGACCCATTTTTGTATGGGTTTATAAGGTAGGATTGTTCATTTCACGAGCTTCGAGAGTAGCATGTTTTGTCTTATTTTATTAACAATTATGTTATGATTGCCTCGTTTTATCTAATGCTGTTTATTCTATTTTCATGCGTTCTAACAATACGTTACAACAACACATTGCAGTTAACGATAACTATTTTGGTGAGTAATCATGTTTTATTAAACGGGGTTTGTTTCTTAACGCACTGTGAAAGTATATATTGCTTTTGTATTTTGTTGAATATATTGTTTGTTTTGATCTATTTTTAAACTTTGGCATTGAACTTATTTTCTGGTGCGAATTATATGTCGCAGGTGATTAATTTTATTTATGTTTGTTAGGCGCCGTTTTTGTGTATTTTTTTTTTGTTTTTCTATATTACTGCTACAAAGAAAAAATATTATCACGTTATTTTCATCAAGTTATGTTCTCTGCTAAGAAATTATATACATTCTAATTGTTTTCATTGTTGCACAGGTATGGGCAAAGAAGTCGAGAATCTTATTTTGGAGAACAACGAACTGCTCGCGACCAAGTAAGTTTAATTATTATTAATTACCTTACAATATTGTGTTGTCTAGAATATTGCATAAAAAATAAATGTAACTTCAATAAAACCCACTTTTACTTAAACAAGGAAAACACACTAAATCGATAAATATTGTTCTTATCAATCAAAATCAAGTTTCGTTACATTTCATTCATTTAGGTAACCTACTCATATTTTATTCAAGAGTGAGTTTTGTATCTAAACAGATCCTTCTATCGTGTGACCCATATCTTGATGTACACTAAATCGTGAATTCTACAGGCTTCGTAATCCACTAGACGAACCGAAAGTAATCCGTGGACGCCTCAGCGCTATCCTCATAACTCACCATGAACATTCAATGTCATCCGATGGTTCTTTTACGGTATAGGATGCTCAATGGAGTTTTATAGAATTCTTTCGTTCCACAGGAACGCGTTGAACGTTGTGAAAGATGATTTAATCGTGAAAGTTGACGAGCTCACTGGCGAGCAAGAGATATTGAGGGAGGAGGTCTCAAATCTTAGTGCTGCGAGGGAGAAACTAAGGGAACGGGTCACTCAACTCGAGGATGAATTGAGACATTTGAAGGTAGTATTGTCGATGGAAGAAATAGTAGTCTGTTACGATGTCAACAGCATGTTGTTTAACTACTCTGAACCTGCTGTGGAATGAAAGGATTGAGAAGAACTTTACTACAATCAGTTGAATAAGTTTCTCATTCTATAATCTGCTATTATCAATAACTTTTGATAATTATTTACCAGCACGTACATAACATGTACTATTTTTATTAATGCTTACGATTACATTAACTTTTAAATCCTATGTTATGAATAACTTAATTATTTTATTCACTTACCTTTTAATATTAATCAAATAGTAATACGCAATCTCTATTCTTTCAATCCCTTATTACTAACGTCGTTACAACCGTTACACCAGCACTACAAAGCTTACGTATAAATTTACTTAATATAATATATATTGAAACTAATAAAGTTATACTCCAAGAACTCACAGCTTACCAGTCATTACAATTCATTCTATTTGGTAAAACAGCGGAGACTACCTCTACCAATTTGTTAATGATTATTTTTTGAATGATTGTGATTAGGAGACTATGAGTTCGAACGCTGGCGGTGACAACGAAGATGAAGCAGATGTACCTATGGCGCAGCGGAAGAAGTTTACTCGTGTTGAAATGGCAAGAGTACTAATGGAACGTAACCAATACAAGGTATTTATTACCATTTTGACATAACTACTGAAATAAACTAGCCCTTGGAATTTTTTTATATGACGAAAGCCCTTCGCGTTTGTTTTATTTTCTCTTTTTTACTCATACATTAGCTTTTTAACTATATGGTAGAAATGATTTCTATTTTTAATTATAGTTATCGTAATTTTATTCTAATATAAAGTTACTAAAAACTTCCGGATACATTCCGGAGTCGCTCAAAAGTAACTAAAATTCGAACATGATCACAAAATAATGTCTAATTAAATTTTACGTGAGTTGATTTGAAACAATAGGCTTAAAGATGTATAACTCGTATGTATATATGCTACCTATAAAAATATACAGTAAATAGATAATTCAGAAATTTGACATACATGAGAGTTAAGAACCACGGAATCCTTAATAACTAAACATCTAATTTTTTTATATTTAAATGTGTGAATATGTACTGAATAAAATATTCCATCGATTCGTTTTACCATCGTCAATCATACTGCATATTTTAGTAACTCAGCGCGCCTCGTAGAACATTAACAATAGTCTCTTAAAACTTGAATAACACTTCTACTGTTTAATTGTGTTGCTTTAATGTTATGGTCTCTTTATAATCTATATTTAAGATTATTCTATATAAGTATCTGTATATGATTATTATAAATAATATTTATTCGTTTTCACCAAAGTTCACATCTAAGAAGGGACTTAATCATAAGGGCATTTAATGTGAAATAAACACAGATTATATCATGGTGAAGTTCTGATTCCTGCACGATACGTGAAGTGACTCTGTGTTCTTCGCTCTACATAATATTCAGAATCGTTTTCTGTTTTTCTGCGATTCAAACACAGAAACACTCTCATTTCTTGAGAATACGTAGAACTAAATAAATAATTCATGTATTTCAGGAGCGATTCATGGAGCTTCAAGACGCCGTCCGTTGGACGGAGATGGTACGCGCCAGCCGCGTAGAGTCGACCATGGACAAGAAGAGCAAGCAGAGCATCTGGACGTTCTTCAGTAAACTTTTTAGGTAAAACAATATTTAAAAAGACAAATTTTGTTCCCCTTCAGTTTAAACCGCTGAATAGTAGAAGCGTGCTCCTTCGTTAGCTAGAGTCTAGCTAATACATTAAATTGTAGTTAATCTTTTTATTGAAGCAAATAGAACTCCATGCAAGTGTTATATAATCCGTACGACCGTTGACCTTATGAGATTAGGATTGGGCATATATTAAGCCTACGTCACAAAACAAATGCGTTGCGTCTTATTTCTTTTTGGGTTAAATGAATGAGCCCGCAATATATATGCTGTTGCGTAGTTCATTAGCTTTTATATTATTATCTCTTATGTACACGTTTGCTTATATTGTCAAGAGAATTTTCAAACAAAATTTATACATCACGTTGTGTATTATAGAAAATTCGTTCAGAAGGCTCTCACGTTCTTCTATTGATTTAATATCACGATGCTCGTGCTTTGCGAAAATATCGTAAAGGGCTCCTTATTTGCCTTATTATATATAAATATTAGTGCTTTTCTATTTCATAATGTCAAAATACCATTCTCTTGTTTTTTTATATAAACCCTCAAGGGTCTATCTTTTTACTTACAAATCGAACTCAGATCCTTTTTAGTTTTAAGTTGAGCGTAGTATTCCTAAATACAGTTCGCTTTGCGTTGCCATTGCAATTACATAATTAATGTTTAATGCTCTGTTAACTACAGTGTTAAAAATTATTCTGATCCAAATACAATCTTATCTCATGCGTAACAGTTCTAAACTGATTGAAACGCGAACTATAACAGTAGTTTTAAATATGATGCGAGGTTTTGATGCTTTTCAGCAGCAGTGGTCATGGAGAGAGAATCATTCACGTCAAAAATTCTGAACTGATATTAATTAGATTTTATTCCGTAATAAAAATATTTATTACAATAAGAACCCATTATAAACAAAAATGCGTTCGTTTTATGTATTCATTAAATATTAGTAATATAAAAGTATCGCAATATGCAAAGTCGAAGGCGCATTGCAAAATTTTGAGCGGCCATATATATTTATTCAATTGTGACGCAATTTGCAGCAGACTGTGATTTTCACTAATTGCATAATTAGTAGGTATCAAAGTGTGTCATACATAATACAACTCAAATTTTAAAATTTTTGCTGAATGTCAAAACGAGAGGGCGCTTATGTACATGTGTAATTTTAGGTTACCCTTTCAGGTGTTACCTAAATTACATACTGTTCATTATTGTATTAAATTGCACATTAATAGTAAATTATGTTTTATATGCTGTGCGAACTAATATTTGGGCAGGACTTCCAAAAGTCACTTTTAAAATTGTTTAGCTACTGTTTCGTCCACTTTTAACTAAAGTGAGACTTACTCTTACTACGTTCACCAAGGCACGTTTTATTTTATCTTATGTAATACTACTGACCCGCTTTATCTCTCGACTATATACTCTATCTCAATGAATATAATACAATATGTATAATCATACTAAAGACAAACCAATCTATTGTAGCGAAGCGTTCCGTATTTATGCATCACGGCAACACATAATGATACTGCAAAGCACGAGAGTGAACAGAGAGATACGGACACAGATATATGGCCGCCTCAAACCACCGTAGGGGAAATGGGATTAAATGCAATCATTCATATTGTTTCAGCACGTCAGATCGTCCGCAGCGCCCTTTATCAACGCCGTATTTAAAAGCAGTAGCGGCCCCGCAGCCACCGATGCGGCATTCGAGGACACAAGCTGACTTCTTAGAGACACAGCTGTCAGACCATCACCACAGGCGACAGGAGAGGACGGAACAGTTTAGACAGGTATGTATTATACGAGGTGTTTGGTACTTAATTCGGGTTTGTATTTAGTTAAAGTTCATCTGAATTACGCGACTGCGTAAATACTATACACGAAAAAATGGTGATATCCTAAGTTAAAATTTTCTGCTACAATGTGCAACAGTAAACATATTTATCCATGAACTCTCCAGTCTGTAGATTTCTGAATAATATAGTTGACATCCCAACGTTTTTCACTTTGAGATGAAACAATTCTACATATACCTATTAAGTTTTAAAATGTGTAAAAAGCAAAAAAAAAATGGTTTTTATTTGAAAACAATTGTTTAGTATTAATTTTTTTGTTACCCTATGTCCTTAACTTTTTTTATTTTTCAGCTGAAGCAATGAAGATTGTTTCATCGAAGTTATGATATGTTTTAGGGAGATATTAATCTCAAATAAGCATATCCATATTATGTTTAAAACATATTGATAGAGTACTTTTAAATAAAACACTTTAACGGTTTAAAACGCGATTTTTTTTTTTTAATTTTTTTTTTATTTTTTTTTACTGGCCGACGGTTCGGATGCTTTGCAGCAGCCGCGGTCTCGAGAGTCTCCCGTACACGGCTGTCGTTAAAGTGTTTTATTTAAATACACAGAGTACATATTGGAAAGTGGATGGGTACAAAGGTGCATTTAAACGTTAATCTGAGCGTTGTGATATTTTGTAAATAAAGCACATTTATACACGTTCTGTTATTTTATTACTAAGTACCACAATCATAGTTTACATGACATAGACTATTTAACAACATTAGTAAATTAATAGGACTAATACAAATTTCGTAGAAAAATCCCATAATTTCTTTTAGTGACCATTTTCTGTCTTTGTTCTTTAATGGGGATAGTGAAAAGATGTACGGTTAATGGAACGTTGGTAAAACAGTGACAACTCTGTTTTTTTTTTAATTAAAAAATAAACTCTCCTCTCTCTACTCAAAAATTACATTTTTAGTTTATTGAATAAAAACTTAATAGATATGTAATGTATATAATTTAAGGTATTACTTATATATGTAGTTTTATATAGTTAATATTTCTGATTTCTTGTTTCCAGGTTCGAGCACATGTGCGCAAGGAAGATGGTCGTACCCAAGCGTACGGATGGAGTTTGCCCGGAAAAAGTGGCCAGGGGCAAAAAGGTCCCAATGTGTCGCTGTCGTCGGGGGGCGTCCCGGTACCCGTGCCAGTGTTTTGCAGGTCTGTGGTCTATTGTCTATACTTTATGATTTTGTATGTTTAAATAAAACACTTAACGGTTTAAAACGCGATATGTATTAGTTATACTTATTTGAAAATTATTTAACAAAAGCCCGACCTTTCGGATGCTTTGCAGCAGCCGAGCTCACGGGGAGACTAAAGATGGAGGGTGTCATTGACGTCAAAGTAAAAACTGCTGTCGAAGTTGGTTTTTGGCGAAACTGAACGGGTCTTTTCAGAATTGTCTAACGTTTACCGTCGGGCCGTAGTTGAAATAATTTTCAAATACGTTTAAGTAATATATATCTTTCTAAATAAAATATTTCTATTTGGCTGTGCACACGGGTTGTATTTCAAAATAATGCAACGAATATATTTAGCATTTTAAACTTTTATCATTATATTTAATATCCTTGCTAAATTGCTAAAATTAAATCTTTTGATATTTGTATATGAAAAAAAATTTAAATTAGATTATTTCATGCAGATCAAGTCTAGTACATAATTATGATAGATAATTGATTATATAAGTAGTATAATACAACTTATTGGAAATTGTTTCAGACCCATAGCTGAGTCGGAACCTCGCATGTCGCTTTTGTGCGCTGCAGCAGTCAACCTGTCTGGAGGGAAAAGACTGGATGCTAAAAGCATTAATGACAACGCTATGTGTTTAGGTAATTAATATAAATTAAAATCGGAAAAGGCACAAAATACAAATACCTATAACTTATGATCTTACAAGTAAACGGATTTCATAGAATAACAATGAAAACATTTATAATTTGGTACACCGTACTTTGTATCGTAAAAATGCAATATGTTAAAAAATCAGTTTAAAGAGAAAACGCGATCATTATTTGGTTAATTTTAACTGCGTTTTGACATAGCCTTTTGTAAAATAATAATAATTTATTTTTGGAAGCATTGATCATTTTTTTTAAATCTAATGAGTAACTAACTAAACTAACTAAAACTAACACTTAGTTAGGTAAGTAACAATTTGACATATATGATATTTTAGTATGTGTTAGTTACTAGAATTAAATATTTTTTTTTAGCATTAGATTTTCTCGACATATTGATACATGCACCTTTCTCGCTATGTAACATCAACCTTAATATGCACGTATAGATGGATAGATTGGCTGTGCTTTGTAATTTACGTAAAGAATGGTTTTAAAATTATATTTTGACATTTAGAAATAATCAACAAATATTTTGTTATTTTCTTGATTTATATGTAATCTTTCATTATTTTTGTCTCACAGCATACGAAATGAGCAAGGCGCAAACAGCTGGGTCGCCCGAAGTCGAACAAATCGCTTGCGAGTTACAGTCAACGCAGTTGTACAGCAGTTTCGAAAATAATCTTTCTTCGCTCGTTTGGATATGCTCCAGTACGCAAAACAAAGGAATTGTTATGGTAAGTGACCTCCTGGAAATACCTCCGTGACCATAAAATATTGGAGATATAAAAACTACGTTTGAGAAGAAGAGTATGGAATGATTACATAAAATATGTTTTTGTCCTTTTTCTTTTAATTATAAAAAAAATGGACGGAGAATTATGGGCCCAAAAATCTTATGTTTATTGGTTCTTTTGCCTCCCTTGGTTTGGGAATGATAGAAGAAGAATTAATTGGTTTTAACTGGTTGATTTTATAAGTCCTTTGTTCATAAATATTATTGCTTGTTGAATCATTTTTGTCCGTGATATGTTTTATTTTTATAATGCTATATATATAAACAGATGGCACGACTTCGTCCGCAATCTTATTGGGCCCAAAACTTTATTTTATTAGTTTGGCTTGCCAGTGTCCTTCCCGTCTCTTCTTAAGATACGTCGCGGACGATTTTAGATCTAGAATCTTTCTTTTATATTTTTTAGGGGCGGGGGGTTTTTTTTTTATAGATTTTAGTCATTTTGTAACATGCTCAACTCCAAACATCATCATTCATTATGAACGCTATATATCTGAACGACAAAAATTAGATTTATCTGATGTGGGAACTATTTAAAAGCTTAGTGATATATATTACAGATAATCGACGCCAACAAACCAGCTGACGTGATAGAATCTTTCCCAGTCAGTGACAAGCACATTCTGTGCATAGCTTCTGTTCCTGGAGCGGTAGAGGAAGATTTCCTCGAGTATGAAGAACGGGTGACAGATAGCGAGACAAAGAGACATTCTGTAAGTTGACCCCTTAATCAATCGTTGAAGGTGTGTGAAGGTTAATGGGCTGTTCTGCGGTTGGCTTCCAATTTTAATATTACATTATAAATAACAATGGCCAAATTTATATAATTGTATTTGACTCTAATTTCCCGCGACTGATACAATGAAGTGTTTACATTTACTTCCCTATACATAAACATTATTTAAAGCCAAGATCATTTAATATCATGAAATATACTTTTGAGGTTTGCATCAACAAATACGTTTCAACTGTAGAACTGAGTAAATAAATAGACTTCTGTAAAAAAGAGGGGTGTGTTGGGGGGGTGGGGGGTGGTAAACAAGTCGTAAAACACAATACCTATCAGCAATTCGCATGGCAAACGTGTCTGGTAGTACATGCTACCTCTGTATTTGAACGACTTAGACAGTATTACGCACGACATGCTTTTGGACAGGCCGGATAGATGCAGGGGGATTTTAAAGAGATTTTATAGACGTATGTCTTAAGGTACCGAAACTGGTTCGCATAAACCGCTAGAGGTTCCTTTACCGGTTGAAATTGTGTTAAATAAATCTATGTGAAAAAAAAATTAAATAAAATAAAAGAAATAAGAACTTTGACAGTGATCCTATATGTCAATCGATAGTGCGTCCATGATAAATCGTTCTGTTACACGCACATAAGAAAGTGCTGTTCTTGCTGTGCTCAAGGAAGCAAACAAAACAATAAATAATAATCATTTATTTGACGTTTTTGACACGTATCTTACGATACGTTCGATATGCGAGCTCTAACAATACGTTGTATATAAAAACTTTCCTCTTGAATCACTCTATTTACTAAAAACCGCATCAAAATCAGATGCGTAGTTTTAAAGATTTAAGCAATGTATGTACAGAAGAGAAAAAGAGACTTTATTTTATAATCTGGTCGTCATGTACTAAACGAGATTTTTTTTCTTGAAGGGATCGCTGTTCTGTGGCGTAAGTAAAAGTGATTCGACCGAGAGTCAAAATAACGGGCTAGCGATAGTAGCAAATAGTAATAGCTCCAGTGACACCGATGGGAAGGATATCATTGTCGGAAGCACGCGATTGGTGAGTTGGATTTAATAGCTTCGTTGATTTTTGGTTTCACTACCTGGGGTACTGCGGAGACATATTTCAATGTTCGCGATCGCTTAAAATAATAACTACATAAAAGTAGCGTAGATGTTCGAACTTCGCTGTTCAGAAAAAGGAAACATGTGTAATTAAGAATGATATTTTTTCATCCTAAAGTAATTTTACTCTTTCTAATTGGGTAATAAAAAAAGTTTGTGGGGGCTTATGTGTACATTTTTGTATGTTGGTAAAATTAAAGTCTTTAAATAATTACATATGCATTTATTTTTTTCCTGGTAGAAACAATATCTAATGATATTTTTAAACTTCAATATATTTCACTTCATGCCAATATACTATATGAAAATCAATTTTACATTGAAATATTTTACGACACCGCCAGGACTTGAACCGGCTTTCACATCGTTCCGTACTTCTGCTAACATGGTTGACTGTGACACGATAGCTCAATTATTATATTATGTTATAATATCAGCACGGAACGTTATGTATACCGGTTTATGCCCGTGTTGTATTATTTTTTTTCAATCTACAATACATTTTAAATTTATATAATTCCATCATGTGTCATTATCATTTATTACCCTATAAATTTTTATTTGGATGATAAGAAACATCACCACTAGTTTTTAATAAAATATCGTATTGGTTTTAGGTGCCAGCAACTATCCTCACACCTCCAAGTACCCCGGTGAAAGAGTCTTCTTCCTCGATAAACGACCACACTCCAAAAGAGTTAGCCATAGAGAACATCGAAGATGTAGATGGTACCCTCTCAGAAAGCCCACCACTTAGCTCAACCCCTATTAACAGTAAGTGTGATTCATTATATGTTATTACAGAAATATAAAAATATAACTCTTCATTGTGTAAATAATTTGGATATAACCACAGGCTGAAAAGTAATAGTTTATGAAATTAAAGACAATTTCTCAGTCATATACTATGCTTGTATATTCTGTACATTCGATGCATATAAATATTCAATTTTCAAACTATGGCGTCTTAAATATGTATTTTAAACAAATAAACAATTGATTGAAAATTAATGAGGCTTTATAATTTGGCATAGTTAAAGTAAGAAACAGAAAAAACACCTCCATTTGTAATGTATTGAGAAATATGAGAATTTTTTCACATGGTTAATTGTTATACATGCAAGAAGTGCAGTAAAAAAAAACAATCGACGACGACGTGTAGGACACGGTAGCTCAATTGGTTAAAGCAACACCACGGAACCCTGCGGCTGCCAGTTCAAGTCCTGCCCGTGTCATAAAATTCCTCCAATTAAAAATTGATTTTTATTTAACATGAAAATTACTGAATTTTTCCTCAATTTGGAAAAATTTCAATCAAACATCTCTATTGGGTATAGATACAGAAAGACGCACTTCTCCAGAGCCAGGTGTTGATGCGTTCGCGCAAGAGCAGTCGGACGCGCGAAAAGGAGACGAACGGGCGACCACCGTTGGGCCTACCATGTGGTTAGGCACGAAGAGCGGCAACCTTTACGTACACTCCGCGTTGAAGGATTATAGCAAGTGCTTAGCGAGGTAGTTTCGTAACTTATTATTAGATTTGATATCACTTTACTAAGATTTTATATTATATATTTGAAATTGACACAGTTCGGATTCAAGTAGAATGCTATCGTTTCATAGGCGATCTGGTATTTTTATATTAAGATGACACATCATAATATTTGCATCCTTAACATTAGTTCGTTTGAGTATAACACTGTATAATTTAAAATGGCTTTCCATCTTAACGCGGCATAGTTTTCATTTCATGAGGAAGTAATACTTCATTCTTAATAATTTCTGAAGTAAGACCTTCATGGTTTGTCTAAAAAGAACATTTCCACTTTCAAATTAAGAATATTTTATAAACCAACATAGAAAACAAATTATAATCTGACATAAAAATACACTGTACACGTGAAGCAATGAATATGTTTTTTTCATGATTTTCAGGGTGAAACTGAATGACGCAATCCTCTCAATAGTTGCATGCTGGTCACGATGTATAGTCGCCCTGGCCGATGGCACTGTGGCTATTTTCTCTAGACTCGCGGATGGGCAGTGGGACTTCTCACAGTACTGTCTTATGATACTCGGTGATCCGAAGTGTTCAGGTCGGTAAAGCAGACTGTTCTAGAGAATAAAATAATTATATAAATTTAAATACTAAAATTAAATCTATTTGTTGAACACTAAACAAACATATTCTTCCGCGTTATAAGATACTAGTTACGTCAGCGACTTAGCGTAGAATAGTTATGTTGTCCTAGTATTATTTACTTTTGCGGACAAATTCCTCAGTTTTATACATTATAGCTGTTGCCCGCGAAATTGGTCACATCCCGTCGTACTTGTGAGTAAATCTTAAAAGATAGACATATAGACAGTAATAGTATAACACAAACCCCATATACTTTTCACACGATACGTGGTAGACAGTAGAGCCACGGCTATCTATAATATATTAATGATTCTAAGAAATATCTGGATACGTTTGTCCAGTTTTAAATGTGAAATATAATATTTTATATTTTTCTGTATGAGGAGGACCGACTAGCTAGCTTCATCTATTTTGGCTTTGGACATACAGAGCTCCACAGAAGGCAAAATGCAATTAAACTTCACGGCTTTTTCATCTTTGAGCGGTGGTTCGTGACCCGAACGGAATTTCCTTATACCTACCACTCGTTTAATATTCAGATTTCCAGACGAAGTCCAATATGTTTCACTAAAATTATAAACGTTAGAGCCTGTGGGGATCGACTTACGAACTGTTCATTACTAGGCATACATTGCAATGAACACGTTCCATTGCTATATGCAGTAATTTTTCTATTGTGTTATACATATTTATTTATGTGGATAACCCCGAATTTCCTGTATCCTTATATTTGGTGTCTTGATTGCCCAATGTTCTTAGTTCGATGCCTGAGCGCTGTCGGAAGTGGTACGGTGTGGTGCGGGTACCGGAACAAGGTGCACGTGATAGAACCGCGAGCTGGGGCGCTGCTTCATACCCTTGAAGCACATCCGCGACAAGAGAGTCAGCTGAGGCAGATGTGTGCTGATGGGGATGGTGTCTGGGTTAGTATATAGAGACGCACACCTCATGTCTGACGAAGAGGCGATATTTTCGACGAAATCTGATATTTTAAAATAAAACACTAACGGTTTAAAACGCGACATATAAAAATTTTGGACTCCCCGTGACCACAGCTGCTGCAAAGCATCCGAAACGTCAGGCTGTAGTTAAAAATGATTTGAAAACATATTTAACTAATATATTTCGCGTTTGGAACCGTTGATGTTTTATTAAAATGTGTACTACTTGCGTAAACTACAGACAGTATATAGACCTACATTTAAAATACGTAATTGTTGTACATTGATGAATGTACAACAATTACCTAATTGTAATGTATTGCGGTTTAACTAACTATTCTAATATCACTTATATTTGATAAAATATATAATTTATAAATTAGTACTTACAATGTTTGAACTTCGTAATTGAGTTAGAATGAAAGACCTGAGTATTCAACCCGGGACATGATTCAAGTTCAATTTAAAATTTTCATTGGCCTTATAACACAGTTACAGTAAACTTATTACTACTCAATTCCGTTAAACAATAGATAAATAATAAATAGAGGAGAAATACCAGTCTCAGCAATGCTACAGAATGCTTGCCACACACAGTAGCGCTGGTTATCAGACTGGCCTGGGTATAGTAAGAGAAGAGTGTTTATTGAATAAATGTATGTAATAAAGTCTAAACGTTTGTTTTGTTCCAAGGTGACGATCAAGATGGACTCAACGCTCCGCCTCTATCACGCACACACGTACCAACATTTAAAAGACGTGGACATCGAGCCGTACGTCAGCAAAATGCTCGGCACCGGCAAGCTGGGTTTCTCCCTCGTGAGAATTACAGCCCTTCTCATCAGCTCTGGCCGGCTGTGGATCGGTACCAGTAATGGTGTGGTGATATCCGTACCCCTGTCCGAATCTCAAACGGATCCCAATAGTCCAGGCGGTGTTATACCTCGGTGTTCCATGGCTCATGCCCAGTTGAGCTTTCACGGTCATCGCGATGCAGTCACCTTCTTCGTGGCGGTGCCAAGTTCGAGCTCGCCACGGAGCCCCGAATCGCCAGAACAGCCCACTACACCACCGGGGCCTGCCCCCCCACCGACTCTCGTTATATCTGGCGGTGAGGGGTACATCGATTTTAGAATAGGTGAGTGAGTCGGTAAGACCTGATTCGAAATTTAAAGTGTGTTCTATTTTTCGTTTCTTTTTTTTATTGAAAACAAGTGAAATTTGTTGAAACTATCGAACGAAAATTGTTGTTGATAGAATTTGTTTTTACTTTTTTATATCGCTTTATAATGACATTTCGTCGTGTCTATTCGATTTATATCATCTATATTCACATTGGCTCCATTGTTATCGTATATAAATATAACATATTACAAAATACTTTTTATACATAGTTTAACTGGTGATTATTGATAACAAACAATAGCATTACGAGGTTTTCTATTTACGTTAACGACATTAATAATGAAGGATATTTATCTCAATAAACACTACAGCGTAAGAGATAGACAAATTGTCGTAAGATGTTAGTAGAAATTACTTTTGCTTAAAACTTATTGCGCTTATAAAATCTTGAAAGCTTTCAGTAGTTCCGACGTGGCTTTTACATTCGATCGAGTTAGAAGCGTCTGCGCTTTTAATTATCCATTATTCTAATCATAATTAACAAACAACGCTTGTGACAAATGCTTTCTTGATACATGAGATGGACATACACGAATCTTATATACATTTTTCTCATTAGACGAACATGCCGATGACGTTCGAGATACAGCCTCCCACCTCATAGTTTGGCAGATTATAAACGAACCCGAACGTACCTGATAGCGTATAAATAATACTAGAAATCGGTACGTTTTAATGTAACGAAGCATGGCGCTTGGGGAATTTAACCTTTACGCTAACAAAATTTTACTCATAAAATGTAGAGTTTAGTATTAGGTTATCAATTAACATTGAACACTGAGTATGTGAAAGCAAACGAATTGTATAGGTATCAAATACTGTCTGTAGTTTACGCGAGTAGAACACATTCAAATAAAACACTTTCACGGTATAAAACGCGATATATGGTAGTTAAACTTATTTGATTAATTATATCTCCTGTCTCCCCGTGACCAAGGCGGCTGTAAAGCATCCGAAACGTCGGGCCGTAGTTAAAAATAATTTAGTCGTTAAAGTGATTTATTTAAATATATAGGTATCCATTAAGTTATACATTGGGCTCTCTCGTTGATATAGTACAGGGATGCACAGACTTATTTAGAGTAAAAAAAAATCATGAACTGATGGCGAGCCGCCAGAAGGTAATTAAAGACAATAATGACTTGATAATAATGTCCTAAAATTTAAAAATAATTTATTAATTTTAGTATTATTTTTTCTGCCGGCAGGCCGCGGTCTGTGCATCTATAGTTTAGTGGTTAGTACATTTTACAGAAAAAAAATCGTGTTAGAAATCTTAGAGTAAATAATTAGTATAAACCCAAAGCTGTAATAGTTGGAGAATTACACCATCTGCCCCGGTTATCATTGGTAATTTAATTGCGGTAATGATTAAGTTTGCAAAACTGGAGCCGTGTGATTTTATGCTTTTAAAAATCTGTCTCACACGTTGGAGGAGACTTGTGATCTAAATGAGCTATTTATACATTTAGAAGGTCTATAAGGCAGGTCTTGGTAATTGCAAATTTAATGTAGCTAACTTCGAACTTGACCAAAACATTAATTTCAAGAAGGTCCACAGATTACGGACACATTTTCGATTGCTTTCACTAAACTCATCCACCTACATTCAGATACATTTTGAAGCTAACATATTCAGCGTGTCTTGAATGTCATCAGTGCATTTATAATTAACCCACCCAGCCATAGCTTAACTAACATAAAGATATTGAATTTATTTGCCACACAGTTATTAACAAGAAAAATTAACAATTGAAGCACGTTACTTACTTGTGACTAATAACTACGAAGCTATGTTGTAAATTGCTATCGATCTTGGGAATATATAGGAACTATTTCTATTTGGATATTGTTTCTTTGTATTCCAAGACATTTGTAATATTTTTGCATCGAACGATTTTTTACGTTAATTGGAACGTTTTAATATAGACAAATTTTCTGGTCTTTCTATGGTCACAGTCTATTTAATTCTTGGAACATGTTTATGGCATGTTAGAAATGAGACATGAGAGAAAGGACAACCTAAATACAATATTATCTAGAGGCAGAGTGACCTAACTGCAATGTCATGACTTGAGTTGGTCATATTTTTATATTTTGAAAATGTTAATCTACAAGAGCACAGTAACCGAAAATTGTTAACATAATTCTTACTCAAATAATAGGGCAAATTCATTTTTGCCTAAATAATTGCGAATCCTTATTTAAAAAAAACATTGTGTTTTTTTTTATTATTAGGCCACTCTGCCTCTAGCAGCCGCATATATTAAAGTCATATGAGTTGTTTGGTTGTGTGTCTCTAGCTGATAAAAGGAAAGTTATCAATTGCCGTAGTTTGTTAACATTTCATCTATAAAATGTTTGTGACGAAACACATTGATTTTATTCCTTTTAATTCGTTTTAGTCCCTTCTCTCGTGATTAACTTAATAAATAGGTAATACTTTATTTATTCATGTATTTCTAGAAAAAGCGCGCCCAACTACCTAATGTCTGTTCTTTAAGAATACTAGATGTTTGCTCGTCATTCCATTTATAAACTTTATTCGCCAGTATTAAAGTTTAAAATCCATTGCACAAGCTAGTTTCATATGCACTTAAATTTTTGAAACAGTTTACCACATTCACTAAACGTATGTACATTAAGGAAGCATTTTATAAATCTTTAGTTTGTCATTAGTTTCTAGGCTTTTAAAATTATGGGCGCGTTTTTGAGAATTCATCTTTTGTTGCGTCTAAAATGGAAAACAGTATTAATAACAGAGAAAGGTCTGTCGAAATCAACCTATATTGACGACTCTTACAAAATCTGTGTACGTCATAAGTAAGATAAATGTTTAAAAAATAGATAACGAAGGGGGTGCCCATTTCGGGCCAAAAGAGACCACGCGCCTAACGTGTTGTTTAAAATATTATGAATATAAAAAAAAAAGTTTTGTTTTGATTATACACCAATAATATCCAATAATGATGATTGGCTGATAATATCGAATGAGTTTTAAGTGTCCATCTCTGCCTTAAGCTCTCTGAAGCGAATGTGCCTTCACAATTTTCTTTAATATTACGCTTTGAATCGCATTCTTATTGATTATTAAGTAAGATTGCTGACTGCAATTCACAATTGCTAACCTAATTTTGTGCCCATAGCTGATTCAGAAATGGAAGACAGCGTGGTTGTAGCTGAGGACGGGTCTTCGAGTGGCCATAGTTCTTTCGTCGAACGTGCCACCAAGAGCCACTTGATCGTGTGGCAAGTGGCGTCCGCCTAACGTACGGCCAGCCGCGCGCGACTCGATTCAGAATCAGACTATGTCTACGTGTGTACCACAGCGAAGCCGGAGATTGCCTACGACGCATAATTCCCTGTGGACTCATTCATTCTTCAGGAGCCCGATTCACGCAATCCTAGTTACGAGTACCGTGATAATGTAACTAGACCACCAAGTCTCGTTACTTTCATCGAGCACATCACTAGCGGTTTGTAGTGGTAACTGTGACAGCGACCTCGTTCGCGTCTAAATTTGTTCAATTTCCCTCATCTTTATACATAGCCCATAATTACGTCCCGTCGTTTTTGCAGTTAAAATATTAAATAACTCTTCCACGCGGACGAAGTAGCGGGCACAGTTAGCAATGCATATATGTGGTGGCATGCTAGTGCAGTTGTTGCGTAATTAAAAGCTGCAACGTGACTTGTGCGTCGTAAATTTACGTGAATCGGGCTATACACGTTCTCGAACATATTCTGAAGAATATGCTGTGGATGGAGAAGGACAGGTTGGGGAATCACACTCATAGAACATTTAATAGATTAGATGCCATCTTCCCCAATTCAATCGACATGAAAATGGATTTTTACGGAGTCTCGTACAGTGTGGTCAATGTTATAAGTTGCGTTCGTCGGATTGTATTAATAGTGTCGGTCCATTAAAATCCGTTTTGTATTTGTCGTCTCGTTTTCGTGGAGACTCTGGCGATTGTATAATGTCTCATAGGCTGGTAAGTGGCGTATATCTGTAAATGTCTGGGCATTAAGGAGTTCCTAACTGACAGAAGAAACTTTTTTAAATGGAGTATTAACTTACAACTTGAACTGTAAATTCTAATTACTTTGATTCAATGGTACTTTTACTATGTCTTACTGTTTTCTCCTTATATATATATATATATTTTTTTTTCCTCTGGATATGTTTTCTTAAGTTAATTTCGAATTTTTTAACCTGAATAACTAATGAATACGACTAGTGTTGCTTGAACAACAGAATGTATTTCCACATTGGTTAGACGTTATACGGTCAGGGAGAGTTTTCGGAATCTTGATGCCTTTCTTGTCAGTCCTTAAGACTTTATCTAGTAGTCTCCACGTAAACACCAAACCACTTCACGACCAAAATGTCTTCGTTCACACGTCAACACGTTTTTGATCTCTGAATCATTTGTGCACGGCTCATGGACACTTACAAGTTATATAGAGCTATTGTTTGTGCTTTGCGTTTGAATATTAGCCGTCTTAAGTCCTTGTTATCTGTATTATATTGCTCACCTATTTAAAGGCATGCTCTTGTACAAAGTGAATTTTTTATAGTAAGGCCGACGAAATGAAATAGGATCTTATGTTGCGATAGTGATTACGGTCTATAATCGGTCTGCCATCTTATGAATAAGTTTGTTTTAGGCCGACGAAGACGATTAGAATAGAAAGTTGAAGTAAGAATGTTTTCAACCCCTGAACGTGCGTTGGCATTATTAATCTTAATGCAAAGCCAAAATTAGTGGACAGCGGATTTTCCTTAGATGTTTCTCTATATTAAAAAAAAGTTGTTTTTTTTAGCTATTCGGTCATTGTAGCGACCATGCTTAGTTAATCAAAACTTATCATCTCCCGATGATGACGCAACCGTTTCTTTACGACGGAAAAGCTAGAAAACCTAAACCGTGAAAGTCTTATACAATTTATTTCTATCTCACTTCGTTGGTCTTGCTCGAGTGACATTAATCTCATTTAGGAACTATGTACAAGCTATAACCACCAAATATTTCATTATATTAGATGTAGAGTGTAAGGTATATTTTATAACCACGATTGTAATCACACTAGAGTAATTCTCATTAAGCAACCAACGGGCTGTGGTTATTGTCGTTTGCGTCGCGTTGTTCTAGATATTATTTTAGGGTTACCTGAAATATAAACGGCTTGTGATATTCGCATCGTCTTTAGCCGTATTCTTAGTGACCAGCAAACTTATAGGGCCTTAAAAAAGCGTAGTTAATCTTTTTCTGTTTTGTCTCTGTCTGACAAATATACTTAGGAAGAAAGAGACAAAACATGGATTAACTATTCGAGAATCTAACACGTTTAATTAGTAAGGCAGTGTACATTATAACAAAGAACTTCTTTTCCTCTAACAATAGCACAAACCCTTGGCAGCAACTCCGTCTTTGAAATATATATTTATTTAATAGCAAGTTTGCTGAGTTGAGGTTGGTATACTTGTCCAATGGTGCAAAATTATGTTAAGTGATTTTTTATTTTAAATAAACTTTTTTAGTTATATGTTAGTTTTATCTGTCGGCTTGTGTGTGCAATAAAATATTAGATTATCAATTTTAAGTACGATTTGTACAAACGATATCTAAAAGCCGGTTTTAAGTGTTTTAAGGTCTTATTTGTATTAGTGTTTTTATCTTGTATGTACCTATTTATTAGCGCAATAAATGGAAATATTTAATTGAAAAGAATTGATTAATACATGTAACTTGGCATATTCTGATATCGAACCTAGTCATATTGAAACGACTTAGATAATTAGATAAGCTTGTATTGTTTGCGGATTGCGAGCTGAAGTAACGCCGGGGATAAACAAGTTTGCTTTCACAGACAAGGGCCCGAATCTGCTATTTACAAAGGTCTCGTTTGCCTGTTGCCGGCGTGGCTTGTATCATTTCGTATTCTAGTAACACAATGGCTTGACACTGATTTTTGTCCGATTGCCTTCTAATAGATCTTTAATAGCGCTTGTCTATCTGTATATTGTATATTGGTGATTCGAAAATTAACAGAATTGGGTCCCAGTTTGTGCGTAGGCCATTATGAAAAGATGATATTCAGTGTAACTATATAAAGCACATATGTGTTAAAGAAACAAGTATACCATGGGCGTGTGTTGCTCAAAAGGACTCATGCACGACTGGTCGCTTCACTTGATTTACTTAAGAGCATGTGTTTCCACGCCATGCTTCCGTGGACTCACATCTTGGATATGATTCAAGCCAGTCTATATAGAAGTGAAGTCCCATACAATGAACCTGCTTATCCGAAATCTCAAGGCGCCTAGAATAATCACGGATTAAATAAAGAGGCTAGTGTGATATATATCTTTCGGCCTCCATCATTTTTATTGCAAACTTAACTTGTCTTAAGCAAAAATAATAATTTGTAGTCCCCCATATCAAAGGCTTTAAATTTACGAGTAACAGATGTTTTTATTACAGCATTGTATTCGGGGTATTAAGCAGGTTTTGCGAGATTATATAGAGCACACTTCCATGGTATATATAGGTCCAGAAATGTGTAACTAATGTTTAAATTAAACTCTGCTTATGCTTACTAATAAACATGGTTCAAAGCAGAGGATTTCGTGTATTTCGTCTTCCTTATTCAGATTTTAAATGAAGTGTGCGTGACAAAGACAAAACATGCTGCTAAACAACCCTTGAACCATGTTTATTAGGTGCATATTTTTACAAGATTTTCTTTCAGTTGTTTCTTAAATAATATATGTAAAACAAATATTCATGTCGTATTTTAGTATTTTTTGAGCAGTGCTAATACTTGTAATATTTGTTTGAAGTTCGATTCTTTAAAAAATTTTAAAACTAATTTAAAATTCGTTAGCAGTGTTCTGATTATATATAGCGCAAATGCTATCTGGACTCTTAATCAGTAACCAGCACATCGATTAGTTTAACGTAAAATTAATTAACGGATGCTGGTGAACGTTTAACAAAACAGATTGTTTTATTTTACCTCTGTGTATATATTTTTTTTGCAGTGACGTAGATAAACAAGCAAATTACTTATTTATTAAACAAGTGATTTGAGATTATTTTATGAGAATATTTGTATGATGTGAAGTGAACTTTAGAAAACTTTATATTTGTTTTGTGTAGAAAAAGCAGAATAGAATCGAAGCGAAACATTATAAAATAATTAATGTAAAAGGTTTATCTTGTTTGTGATACGCAATAAAATAAAACGCTGCTGATTATTATTATTTTTTATTTATTCACCGCTATTGCTATATAACTCCTGTCTAGTGGTATGAGCAACTTCCATTTGTATACTTACATTAGATGTTCTTCATTAAACGTATTCGATATATCACTCTTTACCAGCAAATTAATTTAGATTAAGGAAACTGTATTTTAAAAATAAACCAAATAGCTAACAGAGAAAGACTAAGAAAGAGGCCAGATTCATATTATCTTTTATTTCTATGATTACCATTTTGATGCTAAATTGACTACGAGTAGAAAAAAAATATATAATGTAAGAAATGTATAGATTTTTGCAAGGATAGAGTTCGTAATAAATGTATTTTTATTAATACAATTGCGATGGATAGGTTGTGAAATGAAAGACGTATAATTACAGTACAATATATTTAAAGAACAAAAAACATTTCTCCGAAACGAAACTTACATCTACAAAAAATGTATCCTTTAGTTAACAAAGTAAAACAAAATTGTCATGACTGACTAGAACAAAATTAATCATTGTTTTTATTTTGTACTTTGATGCATCTTCTTATGTCTTTTAACTTATTTGAAATCAATATAGGTCTTCACAAAATATGAAATTAACATTTGTGCAACTTATAGTCTAAAGATCTACTATTTGAAGCACTACCGCCAGTTATCTTTAATTGACCAAGAAATTGATGTAAACGAAGAAAATTTTAAGTGTAAACAATGTTAAAGTCTGTTTTGAAAAATATTTTTCTAGGCACCTCAAATAATAAATGCGATCTGATAGTATAGTCAAATATTAAAAATTAAATTTCTTGGTCAACTATAAAACAGTTTATCGTATGTGATTATAGCAAAAAGTTCTTAAAAGCGACGTTTAAGAAACAAACGATAGATGTGGTACCAACGTTACCTAATAAGACCGCGTTGGACCCTAACTAAGTATGTGATGCAGCTTTTGAAAAAATTGAGATCAATGAAAGAAATATTTGAGGAATAAGTTGAAGAAAATGGCCGCATGTTAAATGAATGTGTAAATACTTCTAAATTCACCTGAAATAACGTCCGAGTTGAAAATTATCCCGTTTTATTAAATCCGTACCCCATTGAGGTATCCCGAATGACTAGGTAAATTTGCTTATGCTTAGTGAGTTACAAGGACTTCTTGACTTTTCTAACTTTACAATATACATTATAATTTATCAAGCTATAATATATTTTAATGTAGAAATACATGCAATGTTATGACTAGGTAAATCTGTAGGTACTTTGGTAATAATTGATTATTAGGAAGGATATTGAATTTAAGAAAATTGACTCTCTACCTCTAAACGATTACAATTGATTTAATTTGGCTAATATCTAGGAAAGTTACTTTAACTGAAAACATTTGGAATATAGATTGTTACTTGACTCCATTCCTTAGCAACTAATACGTTATACAAATATTTCAATATGTGGTGCAATTACATGGATGTTGTAAGTCGCTTACTTTTCGAATAATATAATTTTTTACGTAACTGACATTACTTCCAATGTTTTCGACATTATTCAGAAAGTGACATTGTGTTTCAAGGAGCTACCCACTCACAGGCCAAAAGTGGACATTGTCTTTTTCAAATAATTAAACATTAATTTTATTTAACTAAATATTACTATTGGTAAAACTGGTCAAATGATTACTTTGTATTGCTAATTTATTGATACAATAAACATTCAAGTCCATTTATGGCCGAAAACGAACAAAGCCCTGTTCGACCTATTTTTTTATATAGACTGTTTTAAAATTGCAGTCAATGAGGAATGTCCTTTGTATTTTTAATACTGTTCGAGCGTCATCAAGCCCTTGATACAACTATATTTTCTTCTAACACACTTCTACCACTTTCACATGTCTACATACCGTTCCTTCACTTGACTTTCTAATGATAGTGGCATAATTCAAATATGCTAAACATCTAATTTGCCTAATATGCATAAACTATTGACTTTTTATTTTAATTGTGAAAACCAAATAAAAGAATAATTTCCATTAGGTATCAAATACAATAAAACACTATTCATACAACAAATTTAACACGAGAACATTGACCGAAACAAATAACAAAAAAGAAACGATTAAAAAGTTGAGTAAAAATAATATTTACATACGACTGCTTTAAAAACTAGACAATAAAAACGTTTCGTTGTTAAATTTCGATTACACTTCTGTCGTTGTCTTTTATTGCTTTCGAATTACCTTATAGTTAATAAATCTTAAAAAATTACATTACGTGTTATCTATAGGAAGTTTATTTCGTAGGTACCTACTTCTATTGCAGCTCTGGGCGAATGTTTTATCGGAAAATAATACGAGCTGCGATTTAAGTCTTGTAAGGCGTAACTAAGACTTATATTACGTACTAAATTAATCAATGGTCAAAAAATGGTCTTCAAACATTCTGAGATCATAGGCTATTGGCTAGCTAGGTAGACCATTGAATCTCTATAAATTAATTGTTTCGTACAAACACAATGACCTTTGTGTTGCGAATTATGAATACCTATTTACGTAACTCGTAAATTTATATCTATACTTATTTGGTGTTCTCTCTTTCAAAACTAGAAAGCTAAACTAGGCATAACTATATTTTGTGTATAATAAACGTTAATAACTAACCTTTCGTGATAAGTACTGTTTTGCGAATTACAATACCCCTAAATATCACGGGTAGCAGTCTAAAATAGCAACAAGTTTGCATGCATGTACGTTTTTTACTCTTCCTATTCTAAAATAACTCTAGATATTGCTTTTCGTTTTACATTATTGCTTAATTAACTTAACCTATACGATTTTTGATAATTTTATTGCTTGTTCTTTACTTGTTGGACAAAGATTGTATCACTTTTGCATTACGACGACCCTATTTCGTATAAATAACATTTACATTTGTTGCAGATTGTTATTTAATATATGAACCGTTGGTTTGGTCTTGTGTTAAGCCGATAGTATATGTTGATATCAAAATAATGACTATAGCTCCATGCATGCTCTTGATGTGCTTGTAAAAATTCAGGGCAACTTGCAAGAGCGCAAATTATAATGCCTCAATATGAACCTTTTGTCAAAAGCGTTTATAAGCCTAGCAATATCAATCACTTATACTGAAGCGTTCCTTTTCAGGTTTTCTAATAAATTATTATGACTAGACATCACAAACTAGGACTGCAAATACTTGTAATTCACTAACTTTACTGCGTTTGTTATATGTACATTTACACTATTTTGGTGTTAGGGGGTAAAAACCGTTACGAAGCCCGATTCATTCAAATAATGCTTGTAATACCAAATTATAAACGCTTCATCGAATTAACTTACGCTTATATTTACCTACTTTTCACTACATAAATATGGTATTCCAAATATTTGACACCTACAACTACAAAAATTGTAAAGAAGGTAATTTGGTACATATGGAAATATTTACATTTAAATATTGGTATATGATTTTGTATATATTACTTTACCTTCGTTATATTAAATTTGTTTAAACGATTGCTTATTTATATAATAGCTACAACTACAATAACGTTAGTATAAATATTTGAACAAAATATTTTCTCGTTTTTTATTCATTTTTTGAAAGCCATATACTCGCTTTAGTCTAAAAAACGATATAATAGCCTACGTCTATCATATTTATAAGGAAAATGCGCAGGAGTACATAGTTCCTCAAAATAGAGAGTGTTCGAAATTTAAAGGTTCAGATGATGAAAAGAAATCCGTTAAAACAATCTCGATATATACCACTATAACACACTGAAATATTAATTTTGAAAACGAGTATCACAATTGAATCATGATTCATGAATTACTTTAAAATTCGATGTCACATTCGTTCAATACTGTACTCCAAAGCACCAAAAACGTCTAAAAAACTACTTAATGTAAACAATATATGTGTTATTTTAATGTATGTACTACGTAAATTCTACCCTAGTATTGCTTATCGATTTACATTATATTGCTTATTTCGCGCAACCTTTGTTCATTAATTAACTCTATCTATAGGAATAGCGGAAATAAATGTTATAATCGTTGGGAATATAAAATTATTAAAATTTCGAATATAGAATATATATTTTATAAATTCTGATTTCCGTTTCCGAAAATTACGTCTGATCAATCTGAGATTCTGAAAACAGATTGTTTGTACAATTTCTTTTTATATTTTTATAAATAATAAACAAGGAATTGACGGTCTAGGCCCAAATGGATTTTGTAACACACATATAGTTAGTTCTTTTACAGAGACAGATCTCTTAATTGACAGGATTAAAGAAATTCATCAAGAACAAATTGACACGCGAGGCACTACCTAGCTTATAATAATGATAGGAAACGGTGAAGCGAGGGCCCCGCGGATAATCTATACGACCTAATCTACTTCGATTAATCTATGTGCATACCACTAATAGTCTTTTTTGCATATTGGTCGCTTAGAACGCAGTAATGAATAAGGTATACCGCGGGGCCGTCGTTGCACGTCTACGAGAGCTAAGGATTGCTACAGGAATAGATTAAAGTCTGCTGCGTCTCTGGACTGCTGTGCGCGACTTATTTAGTGCCTACAATATTATTGCTTTTCGAATACCCATTTACCGAGCACCTCGTGCTCGTCTCTCTAGCCTAGTCTAACTCTATCTTAGCCTACGTAATGTTATTGCCAGTTTGCTTCTCGCTAATAACACTCTCGATCTAAAGGCATGCTCGCTGAATGCGGCGCTGCCCGTCCCTTAGACGTCGCGTAATGTGCCCGCCACTCGCCCGAAACGATCCCATCATATTAACGAAGCTATAGGAGTTGCAGGTAGCGTGGAATTGCTTTTGGATTTAGAAACAGTTTTGAATTTAGCACGAGCATGATTTTTTTTCAACTTGGTATTACTAGTAGCAGAATATTGTAGGGTACATTTAAATCGGGACGGGTTCGGCGCGTGGTCGCCGATAAGGCACTGTGGCGGGGCGGGCGACGTACAGAACAAACACTCAACCTCTATCACAACTCCAAACACGATGCTACGCAAACGCTACGACACCGCTACGGTAGCGCTACGAGTTCTGACTAATCCATTCTATTAATATAATTGATTACCATCTTTCGAACTTATTCCACACAAACGTAATTGAAAATGTCGATTCCTAAGTACGCATTGGAAAAGCAATTGTAAACCTGATAAGCAATTAAACGTGATTGCGAAAATAAAAGAGCGAAATATGTAGTTGCGCGTTCATTGCACTCGTCGACTTGCTGATTGAATCGGTGCCGTGGTTCGTGCACAGCGTTATTTTGAGTGCCATGGAGTAGTGATAGAGTGGTTTGATGGAGTGCGACGCGGCGACGTATGCGGAGCTTCGGACGGAAAGTTTCGGCAAGTTCGTCACCGACGAGCTTCACGCGCATCCCAACACTAAACTTACACCGTGATACTAACCTACGTTGCGCTTGTAAAAATCACCTACAAAAGATATTAATTTCATTCGTATTTCTATGTATATACGGGTATATTTACCGACGATTATTATGTACATGTTATCTTCAGGACGTCTGTCGCTGCAGCCTAACGCCACGTCCGCGACACTACGGGGTCGTACGAGATTCGTTGTTTGCGAAACGTTGCTCGAGTGCGGCGCTCGCCCGGCGTCGACTACGCGTCGCGCCGGTCGCGGGGCCTCTTACATTAATTACGCTATCGAACTAAATTCATATTAATACTTTACGTTATCGAATAAACGAAAATGGCGATTGTAACGGTCCCTAGTTACTATAACAACGCCCGCCTACTCTGACGGTGAGGCGGGAGCGTCAGCCGACGACGAATCATCTTCTCGGACGCAGGCCGATTCTTGATGTTTGTTGAGGTAGCTTTTTAATGCGAAGGTTTTATGGCATCGCGAGCATTCAAAATTCTTGTCAGAGGAGTGGGTCTGCATGTGAGCGCGTAGGTTCGAACGGTCGGCGAACGCTTTGCCGCAATGCGCGCAGCCGTAAGGCTTCTCGCCGGTGTGCGAGCGCAGGTGGCCCTGCAGTAGCCATGGCCGAGAGAATAGTTTGCCACACACTCCGCACACGTGCGACAGTTGGTGAGTCAGCACATGCATCGCCAGGGCCGGCATCGACACGTACGCCTTGCCACATTCGCCGCAGCGCTTAGCGGCAACCGAATCGAGGCTACGATGTGTTTGCTTATGTCGGGAAAGGTTTGAAGAGGTCGCGTAACGCTTACCGCATTCGCTGCACGTGTACTTGGACTTCTGATCCGTCGGCTGTTGGGCAGTTTCGGGCGGGACCTGCGCGTAGTTACGCCGCTTGGAGCGACCGTCGCTGACGAAGAACGCGTCGTAAGTGTAGGCGACTGTTTCTCGGGGACGTTCGGATTGCTCTTGGGAGGTTTCCGGTTCTGGAGGGGGAGGTGGAAGTTCGGAAGGCGAGGGCTCAGCTCGTGGCGGTGTGGTGAGATAGACAGCATGGTGGCTCAAATCAAGGATAGCGTGGGCCGCTTTGAGATCTTCCTCCGGCCGCTGCAAGTATGCGCGATCTCCCAAGCAGTAGGGGCGATAGATGTCCTTCTTTTTAGGTGGCAGTGAGAGAAGGGTGCCGTTGCTCGTGTACAAGTTGGATTTGCCGCTCGCCGGTGGCGGAGGAGGGGAGACAGGTGAAGATGGGAGATGCACTTGGATGAAGGGCGTTTCTATCGAGTCGGAGGTGGTGATCTGTAGAAGAGCGTAGGAGAGAGGCGGTGACGCCGGCTGGGAGGGGCCGGGGAGAGCCGGGCTCACCTCGCTTGGAAGCTGAGCGGTGAACTGCGTGGAAGGTTTCTCCTCGGTGTAACCTGAAAAAAGAAACTCTTTTACTTAAAAGGTCTTCCTTAAATACTAATTATTATAGATAAAAGGTAAAAATAAACATAAGGCACACTAAACTCAAGTCCTCGAGATCAAAATATGTAGCATACGAAATTGATCAACCGCCTCCGTGGCTTTTAAGTGTGAGAGGTCCTGGGTTCTAATCTCGCGGTAACAATCTTAAAATATATATTAGCTTTAGTCAAATATGGAACAAAGTTTAAAAATCCAAAAGTTATAATTATCTCCTCACTTCGATGTTTAATAATAAATCGTCTCCCGTAAATAATATATCAATTTATATTCACAATGAAACCAACTTGTTTTCTACCGTTAAATTGATACTGAAAAGAAGGTCAATTTCTGAATGATATTTAGATGAAATTTGAACATTGAAGATTCATTTTCACGTGGAGTTTTAATGAATAGATTTTTTTTTATTTTAAATTTACGGCACATGTAGTATTGGGGATTGATCCACAATTCTACTGCACAAATGAGTAAAGAGACGGTATAGTACATTATTGAATGTTAATTCAAATTACAATTCGAGTTTGATTTATACCGCATTTTTATGTAAAACCAATTGCCAATTTAAGCGACAAACATCAAAAAAGAAATGGGTACAAATTTCAAAAAATAATTCTTTTACCATATTTGCTTGATATGTAATGTGTGAAGTAAATTTATTATTCGCTTTTAAGTTTTCTGTTAGAATTTAAAAATCGAAAATAAATTGAAAAAATTTTCGACTCGGGCATGACTTGAACCGGCATCGTCAGCTTTCCGTGCTGTTGCTCTACCAATTCGCTCTGGATTCGGTAGCTCAATTGGTAGAGCAACAGCACGGAAAGCTGACGATGCCGGTTTAAGTCCTGCCCGAGTCGAAAATTTTTTCAATTTATTTTCGATGTTTAAATTATATAGTGCCTTTATGTGCATGTGAAAAATATTAATGTTTTCTGTTAGAGGTTTTTATATCATTTCTCATTACCGTACGCTGTCAAATGTTGGTTAAAATCAAACTTAAGATTAAATTATACATTTGATTCACTCTCTTTTCAATCAAGCACCTGAAACGTCGCATCGTAGTTAAAATACGTTGAGTAACATAATTCGCATTTGAAACCGTCAAAAGAGTTTTACTTAAAAGCGATCAACATTCCAACAGCTATAGACTAGTTGAAAGTTCTATTCCGAGGGACCGTCAATGATGCCTTTGCAGAACCCTTCAGTTGCATTCAAATCAGGTATATAGAGGGTGGATGGCGAATGCGGGAGTGTGAGTCCCCCAGTTTACAAGAGTTATTCTGGGTCCGTTAATAATTTACGAAGGCAACCTGTGGCGTGCCTATATCAACCAGTGGCTGTTTCTGTCTCTTCTTAATTTTTAATAGCAGGCGAAGAGCTGACAGCACCATTTAAAATGAATTTTACCTGCACAATTATTACACAAGGGTGTAAAAAATAAAGCGTGAACAAATTGCCTTACCAATGTTTTACACAGCGGAAAATGTCTGAAAGGCTATCAGTAACGAGTAAGTATATATGTTCTACTATACTAGTCACTAGTATAAACATAAAAATAGTAATTTGAATATTTCTTTTTTTTTTCAATTGATCTTTCAGGGAAAACATTTTTTCGTTACTTTCAATTTTCTTGGGGTTTATTTGTTTAATTTTTCCCATTAACAGTTTAAAACAAACATGCCGCCTTAGTTTTTATACATAACAAATTTAAATATTACTATGGACGACAAAGCACATATACATACATACACTACAGACAAATGATGCCTTTATGCTTTAAATGTCGTAATTAATAAATAACTTAATTACTTTTAATTAATAAATAATGTTTCTATTTAAACTTCTTATACTGTTTTCTCTTAGGATATTTTATTCAAAAACGCTAAAATTTTAATAATTTACACATATATAGACGCCAACGTAGATGTTAATATATTTGCAACTTCATTTTAAATAATAAAACAGTGTGCCTCGTGTTATTTAAAATTATACAGAATTTCTGTGTCTCCTATTTGAAGCAGCTGCCTCCATATTCCTGCATGTTTCACTGAACTTTTACAAACAATTCCACGGCACTGTGCGCTCATCGACCGAACTTTTTGCTTCGCGGAAATTCAAATTCAGAATCTCCTGCAAAACGCAATCGAACTCACAAAGAGACAGTCTTTATTGGTATCTGTATTGGTCCAATATAAAGGAACAAGTTCTTTATGGTTTTGAAATACAAATAATACATTAAAATTTTAAATATACTGGATTATACGTTTATTGTCTATGACTGAACCAGTTTTAAAAAAGTATTATTACTTCCGTAGGTCTATGAATTCGTAACGACTCTCTATGTCGAATTTCGATTCTTTTATAAATATAATATCATGAATTATAGTTTATACAAATTACTAAAAATGTTTATACGTAAAAAATGTAACGATTTTAAATAATTTCGAAAAAAACATTTTAAAACGCGATATATATTATTTAATTTATTTTAACTACTGCTCGAAGTTGTAGATGCTTTGCAGCAGCCGTGGTCGCGGGGGGATGCGGAGAGCTGGGCCGTAATAAATTAAAAATAAGTTAGCTGTTATATTTCTCATCTGAAACTGTTAAAAGTTTTTTCATTGAAGGTGTTGAGACTATATTTAACGGTAATATTTCTATAAGAAAGTGAAATTTGTATCCCAGTAAGACTTATACTCATATACATACTTTAATTGTACACCATATTCGTATATACGCAACCCCAAAGTAAATACTAAATTATTCTACTCATATATGATTTCAAAGATTGAAAATATGTCTATCATTCTAGATCGGTTTTGCGTAACGATTTTATTTACAATTAGTTAGACAGTATTCTGTGCCCTACCCGACCGAAAGTAAAATATTTCCTTGGGATTTGAACCCAAATACGCTTACGTGATAAACTTTCGGCCATAACAATGGTAAAAAATACTACTTAATAATATTTCTTGTGAGGATCCTTTTTGAATCTAAAAGGATTATTCATTAATTTTTAACCTGAATCTCATAAAAAAATATTATATCAATAAAGTTAAAACCTATTTAAATTTAATGTTTAGAGCAAACTCACTTTCCCGTGGGGCATGGATCAGGACAGACTTCTGTGCCATGTCTGACCGAACCTGATTCGAAACCAGGACCTCTCGCGCTAACGCAATGTTAAGCAACACGTTTAACCATTAAGCTACAGAGACGATAAAATTTAGCATATTGCTACGCGAAATTCAAGGCACAATATAATAACGAAGAAACCAAATATAGCTACGTCTAAAAGAGCTTGTCGCTACAGCACAAATAAACTAAATGAAAGTTCTCACGAGTCGGGATTAGTTAGTGCGGGAAAGAGGGAGACATTTAGAATCTACCCCCTTTTGTTTTTGTGAAGAACGAAGGACGCTCTATACAATTTCGAGTAAAGCGTTTTACTAAAGATATACATATATAAGTGTATGCTTTCCTACGCTGAAGCTTTGTGTACATTCAAAATACAAGTATATTTTAATAGTATGTAATGTATATAAGTCCAAATTTATAAAGGTTCTAATTTATTTATACCAATATATAAAGCTGAAGAGTTTGTTTGTTTGAACGGACTTATCTCAGGAATTACAGGGTCGAATAGAAAGAAAATGTCTCACCAATATTGAAAATATTAGAGGGGGAATGGGAAGTAACCAGTTTACTTGTTAAAGAGGCCAGTTGATAAATAAAAACGCGTTGAAATTTGAACAATAAACCAAAGCAACAAGCCACATTTTTATCTCAAAACAGTTCAGAACAAAAGCTCTATAACAATAGATTCAATTGGTTGTTATTCAACTCTTGTTTAATCGAATGTAAATATTGAATGGCGCTATTTAAAATACAAATATCAGAATTACACGGCAGTGCACAGAATAAATAAAACCCGTATTAATCGTATTTACCCTAAAACTTTATAGTTGCCGAGAAATTTATTGCGTTTGCATTGATTTTATATACGTTCCTTCTAATAGTCGTATTAGTTTAATGTTAACTAACATATGCTATGCGAGCTATTATATATATTAGTTAATTATTTATTTATTCAATTTCTAAAAAACTCATTCGAGTTTATTTCGTAGGTTACCTGTCTACACGCGTATATTTAGTGACTGCCTGGACTATGAGGGGGCTTTCGAATTTCGAATCTAATTACTCAAACGTTGTATGTAGGTATGTAGGCTTTAGGGAACAAATGAAAGCAAGTCGCGTAGTTCTATATACGAGCTGTTAAATCGATTTTAACAAACATTCCCAACTAGATGCGATGTGAATTACTTATAAAACTATAAGGATTCCCTAGTGTGTATATCGCTGCTATCGAATCATGACTATTAAGATGAAGTGGACTATTTCCAGCATATTTCTGTGTTTATTTCTCTGAAATTTCAGTTATTATAGATATCGGCCGACCCGAACTAATATCTATATATTTTCCCGAGACTCAAACCAATTCCTCACACATTGTAAATGTAGTTTATTTAATTCTGAGTCCTCAAGGGGGTAATATATATGTAATTCAAATTACAGTACTTATCTATTGCTACCGACTGATTTAAAAAGAACCTGCCTTACCTTCCTTATATTATAAAGACTATAATTTATATATGTTTGAGATTTACAATTTACATACGTAGACAGAATACTTTAAAGATTGAATACTGAGTTACTCATTTTTACTTGGAACTATGATGAAAGCTGACTGGTCCTATCCATGTATAGAAGCTATAGTCACATAAAATTTGGCTAATGATCAGTCGGTCGTGGATTCGATCCCCATCAGAAACATGCTCGACTTCGTCTGGATACCTGAATATTAAATGGGTCGTAGGCATATAGAAATTCCGCCCGGGTCACGAGCCACCGTCCACAGAAAATAGCATCAAAGAGCCGTGTAGATCAATCGCGTTTCGGTTTCAGTCTGTAGATTTCCGAACATCAAAAGTCAATATAAGTCGACAGCGCATTTTGTTTAAATGTTATAGGCTGGGCACCTACCATCAAGTGAACCCCATGGTATGTCTGTCCTCCGCTATCATTAAAAAAAATATGAGACGAACGAAAAGTTAAAACATAGTTATAAATAAAAGCTATCGTATTAGATACTGTCTATAGTTTACGCGAGTAGTACACATTTAAATAAAACACTTTAACGGTTTAAAACGCGTTATATTAGTTAAAATTATTTGAAAATGATTTTTAACTTCGGCCCGACGTCTCCCCGTGACCACGGCTGCTGCAAAGCATCCGAAACGTCGGGCCGAAGTTAAAAATAATTTTCAAATAAGTTTAACTAATATATCGCGTTTTAAACCGTTAAAGTGTTTTATTTGAAAGCTATCGTATTTTTAAAATAAAATTGGACAATACGACATGCAACGTATCATACGCTTTAATAGAGATGCTTTCAAAATAAAACCCGTTAAACGGTGTTTTCAATTTTTGTCGAACATTTGATTTGCCGTAAGCGTGCGTAGTCGGTATGTCAATGGATTGTTCCTGTGAGCACGAGAGACCTCCATAGCTGTTAACGGGATCGGAAAATTGTGAATGCCGAAAACTATTTTAAAGCAAATTTCACAGGATTTTCATTCAGCGATCGGCCGAACGTTTTACAAATATTTAACGTGTTTGGTTAATTATTTTAAATAAAACTTAAAATCATTAACCAGGACAAAGAGAAATGATAATGTCAGTTGGGAAATTTATACATTACAAATTTTACCGTCAAAACAACTTTTTCGATATTCAATAATTTTACTTGGTTGACTGTCACAATAATTAAAAATGTACGTACGTAGAGTGTGTGGGATTTCATTTGTTTTATGTAAGATGTTAGCTCAATTTGTTTTACACGCTTAACAGAGTAAGACATAAAGATTGAGCCTAAATTACTGTTATCAATGTTTAAGTGATAAGAAATGGTTTTGATTTGAGCGTTTTATATTTTCCGAATGATGTAAATGGTTTTCACATCGCTACATAGTAAAAAACTAAGTTCCTTTTTTCTGTCTCTATGTACGCTTAAATCTTTAAAACTACGCAACGAATTTTGATGCGGTTTTTTTTTAATAGAATATTATATGGAAACTAGCGATTCGCATTAGCTATTTCTATAATAAAATATTATATTAAATAAGAAACTCTCTTAATATAATATCTATTAGAAAAGAGTTAACTTTGATGTACTTACATCACGTCGTACATTAGATTCTTTTATATAAATTGCGTTCCTGGTTCCTATAACAGTATTGAATAGGTGCCAAATTTCAAACTGCCATGAATCGTTGGAAAACATGACCGCATTACGTCCGCAGTGCTTCATTGAATTGAATCATTATTTATTAAAAAATAATGATTTAAAGTTCGTGTCAAAAATTATAGAAGTATTGTGTTTCAATACAATATTATGTATTAATTTTCATGAAGCCGTACAAAGCAGAGGTGCCTTTTATGTAACTTGAAGGGTGGCTGACGTATCGAATGTATTATTTATATTAAAGTCTCCTTAATAAGGTACATAGCAAACTCTCCATGCACATAAATATTTTGTGTCTTCACCATTTATCAAGTAAGATTTTAGGCTATAAACCATCTGGCTGTAATCACTAGGAGCGAAGAAACAAAGGGCAATGTGGAACGCTTCAGTTGCGTGCACTGTACGAAATGAACCGTTTTCAAACAAACAAACTTTGCAGCTTTATAGTAGTAGTATACATTTATAGATAGAGAGAGTTGTTTTGAGAAATAGAATTGTATATGTATTAAGAAAAGACGGATTGAACAGTGTCTATACATTACGCGAGTAGTACACATTTAAATAACTTCGGCCCGACGTTCCAGATGCTTTGCAGCAGCCGTGGTCACGGGGGCGGAGTTAAAAATCATTTCAAATAAGTTTAACTAATATGTCGCGTTTTAAACGGTTAAAATGTGTTATTTAAAGACGGATTTACAAAATCTAATAGAATATATCTTGTGCAGCAGTAGATTTGGCGGAGAATCACTACGGTTAACCGACTATCATGAGTTCGAGTCTCACCAGTTTTTAATACTGAGGTGAATGAGCGTTTCCACTGCCGTAATTGAAAAATGGTTCCTGACGTTTCTCCATCAACCATTTTTCTTCAATTGATGTAAGGCCTCATATAAAGTGTATAAATAAATAAAAGAGTCCTTTAAAGCCTTCATCCGAATGTTCACAGAGTACCGCATCGAGACGCGAGGGTCTATCTAGACTTCAAAGTAAATTGATTGCCGCGATCGCCCCACGAAAAATGTGGTCTGTTTATTTTGCACCTAAACTGTATGAAAAAATCGCTTTGAAACTGTATCTGGGTTTTTGCCTCATGAAATTGTGCCGTATGTTTGTTTTTAGTGCAAACCGTTCAATCGGCTCAATATTTTGTGTGGAAGCTTGACTATTACGTGGTCGATCCACACGAATATTGAGATTGATATTTACTTAGTAAAACGTAAAATGGTGTGTTGCAGTTAGGTCTATAGAACTTTTTTATGATAGAGCAGGACAGACAAGCACGGAGTTCACTTTATTGAAGGTGAAATACATAAGCCATTTAACATCACACCAAGATGCGCGGTCGACCTATTTTTGTTTTGCATAGACTAAAACCCAAACATAATTAAACATCGCGACTTTTTATATTTAATACTCAGACGAAGGCCAACAGGTTTGAAAACAATTAAAAATTGATTCGAAAATGTTAGGCCCAGTGGTGATTGAATCCCACGACCTGTGACTAAAGTATTCGTAAAATCCCGTATTCCATATGGGTCTTGTGGCGGACAAATTTCTGTATACCAACTAAATAAAACTATACACCGACATGTTTTGTTTTTTGTCAGATTTCAATGTGATAAACATTTCACCACAAATTTCTGGTCTTTACGACCGTAAAACGACCGCGGCCCTTTTGCATTGCTGTTTGAGTTTTTGAGCTGTTTAACCATCGTAATTGGGTAATGGCTTTTGCCATTTTGCCATTGCGAAAGGTTCGCATCACCAAGCGACTTGAGCGTTCCTCAACTTAACGAAGACCTTAGTAAGCTCAGTCGAGAAAGCCTGAAATAACTAATTATTACAACTTCCGTTTCACGTACACAGTATTAGATTTGAAATTCGAATGCGGATTTCCCTTAGTTACAAAATCAAGATAGAATTTTAATAAACCGCTGAAAATGTGAACGGAATAATAGCCAGCCGACCCTCATTTAAGGTGCCGGTACAAAAGAAACTTAACAAAATCAACGCTTATCGTGCCAACTGTGCGCCGCAGATACAATAGCAAAAACAAACCGGGACAGTGGGATGAGCGAAGGGGTACGCCGCATTGCACCAGTTGAATCTCGACCCCTTCACTCCCCCTCCCGTGCCCCCACCTCCTCATCTCAACGGAGGGCGAGGGAGCACAAAGTACTTGTTGACGCAGTTTCATATGCGATCGGGACGCTTACTCGATGTTTTTACTAGAAAATACCTACTCGGTCCTTTTGACTTTCGGCCACTTGTAACAGTTTGTACGTTAAAAATAATTTCAACGTTTTGATTATCAACGTTTTATTACTGTATACAACTGTTGATTTGTCACAACTGTTGAGCTCTATATTTATAAAATTGTAGCACGTTTTGAGTTCTTATTCACGATAAAAGGTATTTAAAAACAATTAGTCAATTTTCAATTAAGTTCTATTCGGTAAAGTCTTTGTCCAGTTACTGCCGTCTTATTTCTGGCTTGGGTCGCCCATAATTAGCCCCCGATCTTATTTCCTATATCCATCTCTATCTATGGATCGCCCTACTCTACTCTCACAAAAGAGAAGTGAGCTCTATAAGAGCGCATATTCGATTATGACATACTCATCGAATCCAAATTCTAAATTTGAATTCAGCTAAAACATTAATCTAGTAATGGACATGGAACAGTAGCTTCCATTCGTAAATTAATTAATTGCCATGTACGTAACTTGCATTATAGTGAAACAGCAGTCTACGTTTTCAACTCTCATTTTGAACTGCAAAATAAACAAGTACACTCGCCCTGTCTAGCCCATGTTATGTACAAACGGAGGGCTTGATCAAGGTGCATTAAATTCTATAACGCCGACGTACATATTTCGTGTCCAACGATATCGATTAGGCTACACGTCGACGATACGTAATACGCCACAGTAATTGATATTAGAATAGGCGTAAGGTCAAACCCTTTGAACTTTGAACAGGTGTAATGCCACAGTGTACCACGGGCATCGTGTTTTTGAAATTTAATCATTACCTACGCCGTAAAATAGCTATGACATAGAAAAGTATGTCTTTTAGTACTAGAAACCACAACAATATCAATTATTTAATTATATTAACAATACCAGTAATAATAATTATCTGTATCCCTAGTACAGCTTGAAAACACAAAGGTGAAAAGACAAAGGGCCAGAGAAAATTTGAAGAGAGCCTATACCAAATTGACGAAATAAAATATCAAACTAAGTTTTTATTATTCTACTGTTTAATTTTTACTTTTTAAGACTAAAGTGTATACTTACGGTCCTACTACTTCATTCATTTGTTATTCCTATATATGAAGATCGATACTAACTTAACTAATGGAAGAAATATGTCAAGCTATGTAATTGTAGGTCGTATGTTCGTATGTTCGATTCCCTGTTCATTCTCTGTCAGAAACTATTGGTATTCTACTTCCAATTAAAATCTACCTCACGTAGTTAGATGATTAAACTATAGTAATGGTGATCTATTAAAATAAAGTGCACTAATCTGCTTATTTAACGTGATATAAAAAGCCTTAATTTAATAAAAAAACAATAACTTGAGTTATGTGTAGAGAATTTAGCTGTGCAGTTATCTGGGTCAATGGGTGGAGGAATAAATATAAAGCCATAAGTCAGCGAAGCGCCATGCTGAAGGGCACAACGAAGGTTGCCTAACCTAAAAAGAACTCTCTATACCACAACTCATATCACCCCAACAAAAGGTGTATATTGGTGCTGAATTTCTCAATTAATTACGTAAATAGCTCTTTCAGAAACTAGATATATGTTACTTACTTTACTTTCGTACATAACATTAAGTAAAATCACTTTAAACGGTTTAAAATGCGAACTATATTTGTTAAATTATTTTGTTGTTGCTGTAAGGCATCCGAACATATATCTTGTAGCCAAATTTTATTAAACTGAATAATCATGAGTTTTAGCCGTTAAAACTGGGTTCAATTGTTAGGGTACAGTTGTAATTTACAAAACCGAATATTGTCTATAAACGGGTGGGAAACATATATAGGTCCAAGATTACCTAAATTAACTAACAGATTAGTTAGTAAGTAAGTAGGTAATAAAATCTGAAGAAAATATATTTTTTGATCCGTTGTTTTTTTATTATTCATATTTATTTTAATAACAATAAGATAGAAATATTTAATAATTACATTAAATAATAAAAAATATTTAAGCATTATTAATAGTCTAATCTACGGAATAAGGTTTGTGAAGTAGCTAATCAAATTCTCTGGTTTACTTTTAAAGGTATGCAGCAACAAAGTAAAGAAATTCTCATACTACGAAGTCATATAGTGATGATTTGAAAGTGTTTAATGTTTATTATTAAAAGCACTCATGGAAGAAGTACTCTACATCATCGAAATTTGCTCTACAATGTTCAGAGTGTTGTAGAAAATTGGTACCCAGAGTCCGCTTCAGTATTTTTATGCTTATAATCTGTAATATCTCAAAAAACATGGCACCAACCTGAAGCTAACTTTACGTACGGAAGAAAGATTTTGAAAAAAGAACTCGAGGCGGAAAAACTTGCGTGAAACAGAAGATTAAATTTACCTGTTTCAATGAATTCCCACATCACCCGTGAACAAGTAGAAGCTCAATTTCGTCTTACACATGACAAAGAAAAGAATTTGCGAGTACATAACCTGAAACATTACAATATTTGAGAACAATGTTAGGAAGGTACAGTTTTGTTTTTTTGTCGAAAGGGGTATACACAACACTTATACTGATGGTGACTAGCCGAGCCAACAGTTACGCAACGATAAGGAAAATAAAAAATAAAGAAAGAAAATAATGGTGTTCGTTTTTTGAACTTGGAACTGTTTTTTCGTTATGCTTTGATTCTTATTTTCACATTATGGTTTATACATGTAAAAATGAATTAAAGCTGAAAACAATTAAAGACAAAACAACAACAGTTGTCAATTGTTTACATTTCGCTTTGTAGGTATTAAAATGGATACAGCCCAATGCAGTGCAACTTAAATCGAATAAAAGTTGACTGAAAATCGATTATCGTTCATACTGCTCTAATAAATTGTTTATGGATACAATCGAACACCGATGGTTGAACATTTTATTAGTTAGAATCGTAGGCGGTTTAAAAAGAGCTTTATTTCATAGAGGTAAGGTGGAATTATAGTTATACGAGAGTTCGATACAGGATAAATCGATTATTAAAGTTAAACGGAATATCGATTATGGTTGTAGACATTAATTCATAATTTCGTTACCAAGAATTTAAACTTACACTTAGACATTTAAAATTTTAAAAGCTTAAAGTCTTAGGTGGTTTTGAAAATAGAATGTTCTTTCTTAATTCAATAACGGTTTTGTAGAGCTCTATTGTTAACTTCAATTTCATTTACTTAACGTATTTTATAATTCAAATTTGGAATTAGAATAATATAATTATTATATAAAGCAAACTGTTAAGAATAACACGCAAAGGAAACTTATATATAAGGGGGGGCTAAGTAACGACATGTGCTCGAAGCAATAAATTTGGTACCATAAGGAAAACATATTGGGACAAACAATATTCGTGAAGGGATACCTATACCAGCTTTCTATTATTATGATGAGTATTTTATAGCGAAATGCCGTCTCCTCTGAGTGGGACATGGCAAACATGTATGTGTATCTATTACTAAAATCGTTTTTATTAACTGAAAAAGAGCTGATCAGATATCTGTGTAATTTGTATGGGGTATTTGTCATAATGGATAAATGTATTTAACTATAACGAAAATGAGTTTAAATTTCAGGGAAATATATGTTCTACTTAATTTATAATTTTTCTGAAACATTTTGGACATTAAATGGATGGTAGAAATATCGAAATTCCGATCGAGTCACGAAAGACTGTCCACGGATGTAAAGGCCGTAAATTTTAATAAAATTGGTTTACAGAACATCTTGTTTCTATGTTATATGGCTAGGGTTTACCTTCCATTAAGTGATCCCATGTTTGTCTGACATCCTAGATCATAAAAAGACACGGGATTTCAGTGTCATTATTTCATTGTTCATGTCATTATTTCGCCACTTATAAGTATGTGGAATTAAATTCTAACACGTTTTGTTAAGTGACTCTCTCATTCGTACATTGGTAATAACTCGAGCACACAAGGACCAGATTTTTAAATCCGGTTTGACCGAAATGTTAATTGTCTGAAACTCTAATTAAAACAGGTTTTATATACTGTAGTTTACGCGAGTAGTATTTAAATAAAACACTTTAACGGTTTAAAACTTATATGAACATTTTTATTTTCAAATAAATTTAACTAATATATCGCCTTTTAAACCGTTAAGGTGTTTTATTTAAAAGAGGGTTATTCTAAAACATGTTAAATGGTTAGCATGACTTATTTAGCACTAGAGTGAAATGTAAGCTCTTTAACTCTATCCTGTGGGGTGAAAATCGCGTCCACTAGTGGGACATTTGTAGGTTAAAAGAAGGAAGACGGTAACTTAAGTATACTATGTACAAAGAGTCAATTGAATCATAGCAAATAAAATAGTTAAAGCATACAGACTTAGCTGTTTGCACAGAGGACTAAACGACGCTCTGTACATTAACACAAAATCTAACTCTCTACCAAAATATACACATTTCCCGATGAATTGGCCGACAAAGCAGTTTATTTAAGTTCTGAAGGGAATTCATAACTACGCCAATATAATATTGAACATGATTTAGTAAATGCTGGAATTGTTCTATAATTGAAATAAATTTTAAGGAGACAATGCAATGATCAAGAGAGTTAAGCAGTCCATTAAGTGTTGATGATCCATAATAAAACGGTCGACTTAATATCATAATTAGTTGGTGAAAGTCAATTGTTTGCGTGTATCATTTACTTTCAAAGTGTTAATTGAAGTTGTTGTTCTAAAATCAAAGTTTCATCGTAAATAACCTATTACTTTTAAATTTGATCTCATGTTTTTTAGGAAAGATGGCTAAAGACACACCACGTCGCGTGTAGTTTAACAGGCTTTAACTTACCACTGGATGAGACGCGAACGCGATAACAAAACTTCAAATATATTCTTCAATTATATTATTTCCCGCGAGTCACAATTCGAACCCCGGTCCTCATAATCTTCGGTCGAGTTTACTAACCACTAGACC